ATTTGGGGTTTGTCACTGTTCCTACCAGGACAGCTATGTTTTACTGCCTAATGCTTGAACTACCCCTGCTGAGGTTGAGGGTTGTACATTAATATCATCATGACAAATAAAGAGTACGTTATTTCTTGGTGGGGAAGAGGAGGCTGGGAAGGTGAGTGCCTCTGTCTGCTCCTGGTTCTTCAAGCCTGCTGCCAAATCACTGATTACATCTTCTGTTCATTAAAGCGCAGAAAAATGTTGAAAGAGGTTGAAAAGAGGCTCAAAGTGCAATTGGAAAGTCAATAACAGTCCTGATATCTCCTCCCTCCGTCACAGCCAGGAGTCCTCCCAAAGAACTAGTGATATTGTCTGGCATAAAATCCTCTCCTGGAGTTTGTGGTGGTGCACTGTCACACTTCCTCTCTCTTGTTGTAGAGATGAGGACTTGGGGGGAAGATTTATACAACACTTTAAAAGAACCACGAAAGCAATGTCATTTTTAATATATATATTTTCACATGGGTGTTTGTGTAGGGTGGGTGCTAATGTTGCTACTTCCAATTTTTCCCATGATTTACTCCTGAACAGAGACTTGTGGCTCTCTGATAAGTGCCTGAATCCTTGCAGTGACTTCATGGCAGTGGACGTACAGCACACTAGTTGTGCTGACGAGAAGATTAGGTATAGGGAGATTGAATGACTTGCCTAAAGCCAGAAACTCTGTGTCACTTCTTAAATTACTGTAATCATCTCCAGTCCTCTTGGAAATATATCATTTTCCCTTCCCTTGGAAATGTGTGTGGAAAGATCACACCCTTATATCAGCTTACCAGAGCTGAAATCACCGATCACTTATACCTGTCTAAAAGTGATGCAGTTGCCAATGCTGATTGGTTTCCTTAGCAGTTTTGTTTGTTTTGCTGTGAAACTCCTGCTGTGAATGTTTGAGTCCTTGGAATTATTGATTTTGCATTAGTACCTGAGATAAAGCACAATGAGACATTTTGATTTGAAAATCCGAATACAGCTGGAGCCAGGAGGTTCCACCCCTCTTTCCACCCACCACCATGCAAGCCAAGCACCAGGCCCTGCCAGCTCAGCATTGCTGCTGTCACTCCTTCCTGTTCCGCAATGTGCAAACAGCCCGGTGACATAGCGGGGTGACACTGTTTGAACAGTCTCTTCAGTCAAGGATTTTTCCAAAATAAATTGGACGGGAATCGATGAATACCCATGTGCCTGTGATATGGCATAGTGTGAGGGGATTAGATTATGCAGCATGTTATGGCAGGAAATGAAGCAGGAATATTTTCTCGGCAAATCTGTCATGACTACCTAGCAGGTGGTTGCTGAGGATTCTCTTTCACTTTGCAGGGCAGATGGAGTTGGTAATGACCTGGCAGTGAGCTGTGGAAGGAGAAGGGGTAAAGGGATATCCCTGCTTTTTTGTCTCACCTAAAAGATGTTATTTAGCATTGATTACCTACCTAAAGTCTCCCTCTCCAGCTTTGCTTTTGCTCCATACACTTGTATCGGTCCTCTAACCCCACTGCCGCTTTAGCTGTGCAGCAGCTCTCTCTGCCTGGGTGAGCAGACAGCTGCCTCCTCCTGGGAAGCAAATAAAGCGTTTCATCCATCACATACTGTGCAAAACTAAGGCTTTCCTTGCTTTTCTGTCACTTATTTTCATAATTTCCTGCAGATTGCTTCATATGGTCAGATCTGTCTTTTTATCTCAGAGCAGCTTCCACATTATGTTTTCTCAAAATCCCATCAAATTCACCCATTTTGAACAAATCACTCTTAAACAGTTTGCTACTGGAGAAAAGAACCTGTGAATTATTTCTAGTGGAGTACTATCCTTTGTAGAGGCTCAAAGCATGCATTTTGTGTCATTTACTAGGTCATGCTTTGAGAAGACCACCTGGGCTGAGACCAGGCACTTTTGCTCATCCTTACATAGATGTAGACCACGGTGCTTCTCTGCAAGCTGGACTAGCAGTGATCTGTGTCAGTCTGTGGACATTGCCTCAAAGGGTGACAGAAATGACTTGTATTTGATCTTGAAGGTCTTCCTGATAATTCAAGATTTCTTTGGACTGGATTTTTTGCACTGCCTCTGTCGACCTGTAGCATTGGAGGAACTGGATTCTGGTGTTTCTAATGAGTCTGTTGCCCGAGAGCTGTATATCTCTGAAACCTGGGGAAGAGTGGATGAAGGAGGAAGTTCCTTCAGCAAGGCATGAAAGACAGTGACACCTCAAGGACTCTACCTCTCTAGGAGGACTCCTGGTAAAGGGAGGTGTTTTGCTGCCTTGGGGATCGCTCTCTTTAGCGGGGATTTGGTCTGTACTCTTCAGGACATTCCAGCAAGTAACAGAAAATGAAGCAACACAGGTTTCACTTCTCAGATGAGGTTTCCTTCATGCCGAATTACACCTCCCTCTGTACTTGCTTGTGTACGAACACATCAACACTTGCGTGGGGCTCTTCCAGAAGGCTCTGTCCTCACTGCTGTCGCATGACAGCTGGGCTGAGTGGGACCCACACAGCTGGCGAGCGTGGCAGTGGATGCTATCTGCCTCTAAGTCCTGGCCAGACAGTGGGAGCAGAGTCCTAGAGACTACAGTAGTTGTGATGGTGTTTGTTTGGGGCACATGTTACGTGCTAAGACCCTGTCAAGGCAAATGTTCCCAAAGTAGCTGTGTATGTGCATTCCTCTGAAGCTGGCTGCCCCCATCGACACGTTCACAGGACAAGGTGAAACGTCTCAAGCCCCAAAATATTCATCTTTCAGACAGCCACCTTCTGAATGGCCTCTGTTTACAGAGCAATGCCAGTCAAGTGGAAAATATGACTTCTCCTGGTATACCTCATTGATGTGACTGAAACTGTTACCAGAAGTTTATCAAAAGGCTTGAATCTGGAGTCAGCTTTGTGCTACATAAAGCAAATTAACATTTTGATAGAAGCTTTGGTGTGAATTGAGGCTAAAATAATTTAAAAATGGTTAATTTTCTATTGCAAAGGGAAGGATTTGGGGTTGGTTGTGTTTTTTTTGCAACCTCAGAAGGTTTAATGAGGAAGATGCCTTTTGAGCCATTCAGATCAGCTAAAGAAGGTAGAGATTTTACTTGGCCTTGTGACATTTCATGGGAAATGCTTATTAGTCCTGACGCTTTAGTCAGCCAGTGTGACATGCCGGCCAGCCTCTGTTTTCTTGCTGATATTGCACCAGTAACTGCGATACATAGAGCAATCCACCCCCTGACAACCCTGACCGTGTGATGGGAGGGAATGCATGGTGACACTATTTCTTCACTTTGCCTGGAAGCAGCTCCCAGATTAGACGGTGGTGACTAAGCAGCGGGCCTGAAGGCGGTGGTGACCGCTGCTGCACGGGCTGGAGCGGCTCGGCGGGTTGCCTGCAGGAACCGGGAGGCTGTGGGCTCCCGGGCTGCAGGGGACTCTGACCTTGTCCCTGTCCCTGTGTGTCACAGATGCAGCAGGTTCCACACCCAGTCTTGCTGCTGCAGGGGGGCTGCGAAGACAGCAGCTGGGAATAGGTGGTAGGAGAGGTGGAAAGAGCACCTTTCCCTGCACTTGGCATGTACAGACTACTGGTGAACCGTTAATAACTGCTGTATGGTCACCAGCTGTAACAAGGAAGGGCTACTGAATAACCCAGCATGTCTTAGCAGCTACATCATTATCTCTCTAGATAATATTTTACTTTTGGTTTTAAGTTTTTGTTGTCCTTGCATGATGTTACTCTGGAATAAACTGTTCTCTTCAGGGCAGATAGTGCTCAGGGAAGGAAGAATAAGAAAATATGGGAAGCAAGTTGCTAAAAATCCTTCAGTTTTCAATTCTCAGAAACGGATCCCTCACACTGAACTCTGCTATATGCTGCTGACACATCAGCCCATGCAAAATATGCACTTTAGTGAAAAATAGGCTCTTGTGAAATGTGCAGGGGAAAGCACTGGGGACTAAAGTCCTCAGCGCTTCTGTGAAGCCAACCCAGGGGGGCAGCACCCATGAAATTTTCTTTTCCCTTTGCTGCCAATGTGCCTTGGCTCTGACCCGGGGAAACCTCTTTGAGAGGAGTACAATTCAGATCATGACTTGGCAAGCCCCTCACTGCATCAGGACTTCAGTTTCCAGGTTCACTCCAGACAAAACTTAACCTCTCTCATGTAGCTGTGGCAGCCCTCTGATACTGGGCTGTTGTGCAAAAATAGGCAATATAGCATTTTCTTGAGCTCTTGGTTCCCCTTGACCAGCAGGTCTCTCTCTGTGCTCTTCCGTTTTCCCTGCTGAAATCACCACTCTGTGCCACCGTAAATTAGGAAGAAAAAATTAGGTGCTGGAATAGTCTTCTGGCAAAATCCATCTTCCATCTCCCCTGCAGGGCAAAACACTGGAGTATGGGCAGCAGCAAGAGTGATTCTTGCTCTGTCACTGAACTCAGCAAGGAGCTGACATTGGAAAGGGGTTTGGGAGACTGAGCAAGAAGTGAAGAAGTAGAGCTCCTCCAGGGGCTGGGAAAACTACGCTGTGGTCTGAAAGGGAAGTAAATGCTTTGTATGTGGTTGGATTTCTGGGCTTCACCATGTGTATACACAATGAACAGGTAATAATTTGTGGGGATCTGGGCAGAGGGTTAAGGCCAGCTGTGTGTGTTGGGAAAGCCAAGGAAAATTCCTTGGGAAGGGGATCTGCTCCACCAGGAGGAAGGATGGGCTGGGCTGGAGGGAGGACGCCTCTTATACACAGCCACCCGTGCCACCCCGCCATGCAGCAGGGCAAGAGTGTCCCCTGGCAAACAAGTGTGCAAGGCTGTCCTCTGGGGTTAATAAGTACAACAAGGAACGGCCCCTTCACAGCCAGCATTACCCTGCAAGGCACCACCCCTTGTGATTTTCCAAGCAGAAAGGCACTGGGAACATCGGCTCTGGCGCAGCGTTGCAGGGCTTCACGGGATTATTATTCACTGTGTACCTGGCACAGCTCCAGGCTTCCCGTCTCTGCCTCCAGTGTACAACTTCATCAAGTACCCACAAGGCTCACAATCCCCAGAGGCAAGAGGAGATGGTAGGAAGGTGATTCATATTGCAAACTACACCGTCTCTGAAGGATCTGTGGGGCTCTGGAAAGACCGACCTGATATCCTCCCTTCTCCTACCTTCTTAACGCTTAAGCGGGGTATTTAAGGCAGCAGACTCAGTCTGGATGGATTTCATTGCCGGGGCCATTGGAGGTAAATACATAAAGTAGTGCTTGCTGATGAAAGCAGATTGCTGTTGTTCCTTCTTGTTCAGCTAATGCGCAGGTCTCCATAGTAAAGCTGAGAGCTTTCAATGGAGGCTGCTTGTTAAAAGTGCATTCTTCTTTATTAAGTGGGGACTGTCGTCAGAGCAGGCTCACAGAACGACTGGAAAGGCAGTGCTGCAATTTAGTCAGCTGAGGTCATTGCCCTGCGGTCTCCTCCAGTCTAATTGCAGTGGGACAGGGCAAAACTGATAGGAAGAGACAAAGTGGAATAGGTTGTGTGCAGATACAAGCTGGTGAGTAATGCCCAGACAGCAAAACCTCGTGTGTCTGGTGCCTGGGGGTCCTGGTAGCTGCTGGGGTCATGGCTCTGGGGAGTTAAGGATGTGATTTGTGAGACAGGAGAGGTGGAGACTTGGCTTTTCACAGTGAAGAAAGTCTGAATGAATGACCATTGCATTATCTTAGGTTAAGATGTATTTGCAGTTGTGATGGTAATTTCAGTGCAGGCCTGCTACGTAGCAGGCTTTGATCTGGTAGAAAGTAGGTTAGCTGCATATAAAAAAACTAAAAGGAAAAAACTGTGATTTCATTCTAGACATTTTTAGAGCATGTACCGCTCAGACCCAGCTTTGTTTTGAAGAGCAAAATGTAGCCACTTATCTCATTCCTCTTATGAAATCATGTCAGATTTAGTAATCGAATACCAAGACAAGAGCCTTGACATCGCAGCTGCCAGAAAGGCCAGGTAAACCTGTCAGATGGCTGAGATGCCCATCCCAAGCCTGCCTGTCAAATCTCAGTTTGAGGTCTGCTGAGATTTGGCAGTTTCCCTCACCAGCAACAGCCTGTGGTCCTGGTGCAGATGTGCATTTTCTGGGAAGGACTACGATGAGTTTTACCTTGCAGGCCCTTCTTGCTCATCACCCAAAATGTGCAAGTGGGGCAAGGTTTGGTATCTCAGCATCCAGCCCTAGATGTGCCTGTTGCCTTCCCTGGGGTGCTAGGAGACGCTGCTCAGGAAGGACCCTTCATGGGAGAGGGGGATATAACCCACCCCTCCATGACAGCTTGCCTTTCTCCTCCTCCTTTCCTTGCTGACTTTAAAGTACTCGGTGGAGATGGTATCCCTGTGCTGAGGCTGGCAACGAGACGTTCATCCCAGAAGGATTCACCAAACCTCCTCTGAGACATCCCATTAATGACTGGGCTCAGCTCAGCAGGGCAGAGATGGTTGTGTCCACTGCTTGGACTCCTTTGCTTTTGTTGGCACAGCTGTAGTTGAGCCACTTAAGCATAAACATCTCTTGCAAAGGAGTGTGCACAGTTGAAAACAGAGTTTCAAAGTGGCCATTCACCTGCTATTCTGCCCCTCCTCCTGTGTGAGGCTGTGATGTGTGTGAAGCCTCCCTCCAGCAAGCATCTCCCCTGGGTGCCCTGGGAGTGGGCTCAGCCTGGGAGGATGCAGGCTGGGGAGCTGTGTTTGCTTGTTTTAACGCATTTCACTGACCCCAGGGTATGAGAGAGCAGTATTTTCCACTCTGTTATCTGTATCCAACTTGGGCTTTTCTAAGAGGGATAATTCACTTTTCACTGGCAGACAGGGGTGTTTTCTGGCATGCTGTTCCCTTCTGGGAGCTTGCACATGTACCTAGGCAGGGCTTCAGGGCCGTGGTCCCTGCTCTGGCACGGGACAGCTTCCAGGGGTGAGACAGCTTTCCTGTGAGAACTGGGATGTTTTTGGTGCTGAGCTTGTTAGAGCTGGAGCAGTTTTTGTGTTCCCAAGGAAGCTACAAACCCACCTGAAGCGCACTAAACTACTCAAGAGGCAACACAGATAATAACAGAGTTTCTGTTTAGTAAATGACATTCTTGTGACCTCGATCTGTTTTCAGAGTGTTTTGGAGAAAGCATGCCTTATGCACCTTTGAAAAACAGCAGAGATACTGCCTTTTTGAATCCCATGTAATGATCCAGCCTGGCTCAGACACCTGCACAAATATTGTGCATCTCCTCTGAGCTATTGTTTCTGTGGCCATTGGACAAGCTCAGTATCTTCAGCCCAGGAAACAGTGACCTGCTGTGACTCCAGATGGAAAGAACGTGAGAGAAACATGCTTAATGACTGTGGAAACTTTCAATAGCCACCAAATGGGGCTGGATGTCCTCGAAAGCAATTTATCTATAAGGATGTCCTTCCTGGGCAATAAAGCTGAGCAGGAGGCTGGACCAGAGATCTCCCAAGGTTCCTTCCAGCTTGAGTTTTCCTGTGATCCCATGTGTGTTTTCTAGCCCTGGTATGGCAGCATCCTGGTCCATGGCAGGGGATGGGTATTGATGATTAGGGCTATTGATAGCTAGTGGGTGACTTGACTCTTGTGCCAGGCATAAAGATTTAGGAAGAGGTAGTGGAGGTTCATCCAGCAGTGGTAGAGCAACATGGTATGCATCATGCCTGGGCTGCCCCACATCTTGTGGCAAGGCTACACACTGGTCATATGCAGTCCAAGGTTAGATAATACAGTCCACCTACAGAGGGAACATGCTGTCTCCTTGTCCTTGCGACTAAAGCAGCTCCTTCTGGCCACTGCCAGGATCACGTTACTGGATGAAGTTCAGCTTGTTTAGGGTATAAGGCACTTATATTCCCAGCTCTTCACAAAGTAAAGGTCTTTGGAAGTTGCTATCTATCCATCTGGTGCATGACCATCATTCCTGCTTCTCCCTGGGTCTCTCAGCCAGGAATCTGCCAACATCTCGGAGCTGTTGCAGACTGGTGGGCTCTTTATGGCTTCCACTAGCTCTTTGCAGAATCATTGCAGTGGCAGGATCCCTCCTTATTTACATTTCGTGGTCAAAGTGGCCTGACTCGTGAAGAGACTGAGTAATCCAGTTTTGTCCCTGCACTATGTGTGTGTCTGTAGGGCATGCCACAACCTCTGCACAATACCTGAGAACATCTCAGATAAAGTAGGCATGAAAAATGGCTAACTACAACCCAGTGAAGATCATTCACCTGGATTTGCCATTTATTTTTGTCACAGCTGGTGCAGTGCTACTCAGAGGGAATCCCACAGGATCCTTCTCCTGTATGCACGCTATACATTGCTGGCCTTGTTCGATTCTGCTGTGCAAACAGGGCATGAGTGGGTCATGTTATCTTTGTCCCAGGCTATTTATACTGCATGACATTGTGCAGAGCACTTCTTCCTTAGCCTTTGATGGACTTGGCTGAGCTACTCAGCTCTGGCAACTTAATTGACCTGAGTGCTTTGACTCTTAAGGAGTACAGTTCATGGCATGTGGTTGTTCATAGGTTTGGGGTTGGAACAGTGAAAAATTTACCAGTATGGTCTCCTCCCAAGTGGAAAAGTTTGGTCCTTGTTGGACCCAATATGAGCAGGAGCCTTTAAGACTGAGAAGCAATGGGAAATAGACTGTTGTGGGGCAAACCTGCTTTATTTTGCCTATGTTGCTGCTCTCTCTGCACCTTAACATGTGAACCAAATCAGCCTTGGGAGCTGATGTGCATGAGACAAGGCTCCTACCTTCCTGAGATGGTGGAGCAAGCCTGGGCTTAGCTGTGCAAGGCACACGGTGCCCCTGGCTCACTAGTGTCTGGTCAGCCTGCATCCGCTAACTCTAAGATTCAGGAAGTCTGAAACTGATATGATGGCAAATCCTCCTGTTTAGGATGTGTTCTTGGGACAGGGTACCACACCTCTGAGGTCAGCACAGTCACACTGACATTGTCTTATGTGCTGCTCTTCCGTGGCTGGTGGGGCCCATGTTTGCAGCCTGCCTCTGGCCGAGAATCTGGGACAGTACAGATGGCCCCGGGTGACTTCATGCGTTGCCACTCTGCTTGGACCAGGGGCATTGCTCCTTTGAGCTGTATTACTTTGCCTGTGTATTTCCCCCATTGGTGTCTCCTAGCTTGATCTCATTTGGTTTTGAAATACCGAAGGTGGCTTCTTGGCCCATTCTTCTTTTTCATTGCTATCTGTCTGGTGGCAGATTCGATAGAGATTTTTGTAGAACAAACCTATTTTTTTCTGCAAGTAAGGTGCTGCTGGTTGTTTTCTTCTGAGTAATATACTTTGGGACTGCCTCCCAGTGACTCACACCAGCAGCTGCTCCTTTTTTCCAAAACATAGTAGAGCTTTCCAGAGCTCCCAAGCAGTCATGTAATCACAGGTGAACATGACTAGTAAAATGCCCACAGTGACTAATACATTTTTAAGTATCTTGGGTTTTGTTTTGTTTTTTGTTTTGTTTTGTTTTTTTTTTTAAAGAAGGACTCAATGAAAAACAGTTTCCAACCTATGAGCCACCAGACATGCACTGTATCTATCACTGCCTGGCTCCCCGGAGGGCTTATGCAGCACTTTTATGAGCTTGTTCTCTATCTAAATAACTCACATGGATACAGCTGTGTCGTTCCCCAGCCTGATTTACTCTCAGATGACTTGGCAGCTGATGTACTGGGAGGAAGTTAGCTGGTCAGACCCTTTATCACCTGGTGTATCTACCAACAGATGCATTTAGATCAGAGCTGAGAAATGCAGTAAGGGCAGGAACAGTTTGTTACGGTGACCAAGAGAAGTCCATGTTGGAGCTCTTTTGCTCTCCTTACCTGCCACTAAGGTGGTAACTTTGTCTCATAGTCTTAATGTGTTTCCAACTCCAGTGGCAATTTTAAGGTCTCAGAATGAGCCCGGGTGCCAAGAGAGGATGGCCAACACCCCCCCTGCCCCCAGCACGCTGGCCGTGCTGTCACCGCCGCAGGCGGGCTGTGCCGGTGAGCGTGCCGGCTCTGCGCACGCCCGGCCCCACGCCCTCGCTGCCCCTCGCTCCTGCTGAGCCCCACGGGGCAGCGTTGGCTCCTGGTGTCACGCCGCCCTGTCAGGGCTTCAAGCAACGTTTGCTTTTTGCTCCTTGCTCTGCTTTTGCAGCAGCGCTCAGTGAATGTAGAAGATGCACTTTGGGGGCTTAGTCCAGCATGGTGCTTGGACTGTGATTCCCGATTAACTCCTTACCCAGGGCTCTAGATGTGCTTCGTAAGCTTCAGCCAGGACGTGTCCAGTCCCTGGTGTGCAGGAGGCAGCAGGAGTACTTCTCCTGTCTTCTAGACAGATTGCTGAGAACATGTGATGCGTGAAGACCACCTCTCTTCTATAGATGGCCTTGTGCTTGTTGCTTTTATTCCTTAACATTACTGAGTCAAGCATGGAGAACCAGAATTGTTCCAGAGACCCTCTTGTGTGAGCAGGGATGCTCTGCGTCTCACATGAGGGTGCTTGGTCATAGTCCAAAGATACTTTACTGCCTAAGTTGAGAGGGGGAACAAAACCAGTTTGATATCATACAAGTCATTCCTTTAACCTTCCTGCAGCACTGCTTTCAGTGTTTCTCTCAGTTCTGGCTTGCACTATGATGTTTTTCCTCCTGATATATTTCCTATGATGCTCAGATTCCTCCTCTGAGTGTGCCTTGGTCACACACACAGAAATCTGTGCATTTTGCTTTGTCATTCTTGGCGCAGGTGTTGTCTCTGGAGCTCAAGAGAGGTCTGGTGTAGGGCACAGCTGGGGTCTGAAGCTGAATTTTTTTGCTGTTCCCCTAATGTCTTCCTGCGATGGGGGAAAACGGTTTGTCACCATATGTGCTGTTAACCATCTCCAATACACTCTCTGTTTCAGGTGGGCTAAGCACAGCAGTGGGTTATCCGCTGGACACAGTGAAGGTACCTGTTGGAGTTTTATTTCTTGACTGCAGACTGAAAACATACAGACCCTTTTGCTTTCCTCTTCTTTTTTAGAAAACTAGTTTCTTGGAAAAGCTTTCATCTTTGTTACATTGACATATTTCACTTTATGTGAGTGTGCTCTTAAAAAAAGATGTGGTTTTCTCTTAAAAAAAGAAAAAAGTAAATTATTTGGTGATGCTATATTATGACTAATTATCTGCTGTAGCATTTATTGATTTATTATTCTTTAATCTGATATCTGCATTTTAAAGTTGCCTCTGTATTCTTAGGTGAGAATTCAGACAGAGAGGCATTACAACGGGATTTGGCACTGCATTCAGGAAACATATAGGACAGAAAAAGTAGGTACCTCTCATCAGAATTTCTGATACTAGTTACGGATGCCTTGTTTCAGAGAAGCAGAGTTGCCTCTGTTGGTTTGGGATGGGCAGCAGTTACATGCAACCATTTCTTGGGAGAAGGATCAGGATGAAATTTGGCTTTGCCAATGAGCCATAAAATGGGAGTAAGTTTTGGCTTAGCAATGTATGGTCAGCGTTTTCGAGCAGATGCTTTCCCATGCCATTCCCTTTTAAAAGTGTTCTGTTTCCTCTCTTTCTAACTAGGTTTGGGGATTTTACAAAGGTGTGTCTGTGTCAGTGCTCACAGTATCCGTGATTTCTTCTGTTTCATTTGGCACCTACAAAAACTTCCTTTGTACCATCTGCAAGCTGCGGTACGGGGCTGCAGAGGCGAAGCCGTCCAACCTGGATGTTTCTGTTGCTGGAGGTGCTGCCGGTGCTGTCCGGGTAGGTAAACAACCAAAAGGGAAAGCCCAACAAGAGATCTTGTTTGCAAACATAGGAAGCTGGGAAAGCAGTGAATGTTTTCTGTCTGGGAGGCCCCAGGGGAGCCTGCAACAAGCCCGGTGGGTTTGTTTTGGCCGGGGGTCACGCTCTGCCCTCACTGACCCCTCACTGGTTGTCCCCATGGCGTGGCCAAGTCCTGCTGGGAAGCTCGTGCTGGATTTGGTTTAGAGGGCCAAAACACTTAAGATCATGTTATTAAGCATGATACGGACCTTGGCAGCAAACGTGGAAAAGGGAAGAAAAACAACCCGGGCAGCACACTTTCCAAGTGGCTCAGGTGGTATGTTTGTGTATGAGAGACACAACTCGGTGTGTTAAAGCACAGGCGGGTGTTTTTACAGTGGCTGTACAAGCCCAGCACCATGTCGCTGCAGAAATGGGCAGTACGCAGTGTTGCCTTGTCAGGACTCAAAACTCAACGGGGCATCGCTGAGAAGCGATGGTGCCTGGCACATGTGCATGATCCCAGGACAGAGAGGTGAGGCTGAATCCAGGAGCAGTTTCCCACAAGCAGGTGGTTTTCTGCCTGCAGGCACTGCGAACGCTGCAGAGCTTACCCCAGTGCCCCGGCGGCGTGCTGGGCAGGAACGCGTGCCCAGTCACAGGCAATCCTCTTATAGAGCAGTCCAGATGGTTGGGTTTCTAAGTGTTTCCTAGCAGGCAATGACTCTACTTAACACAGGTTCATTTTTTTAAAGTCTTTATGGCCTTAATTCCAAATACAGATACATACAAGAGCCCTGATGTGTGTTATCCTATAACTAAGGACATCCCCTTTCCATGCCCATCTGGTTTAATAAGTTGTTACAGGTATTTAATACCCTCTGCTGATTTCTGTCTCACCTTCCACTCTGCACAGTGCACCTCACATGCATGTCCTGCTGCTGCTGGGTGGGATTTAGCACAGACAGAGGGAAGAAGGCTGGAACTTGATGGCTTCGGGGAATATTATTGCCTGAAAAGGTGGGACACGAGGAATTTGCAGGAGGGGGATAAAAACACTGTTTAAATATGAAGGGTTAAAATACCATCTTCTGATGTTACAGGTTGTGTTGATGGCCCCGAGTGAAGTGGCCAAGGTTCGCATGCAGACTCAGAGGAACCCACATCCTTCTGTCACATATACCCAGCCTGTTTCCAATCCAAAGTACCGAGGGTCTCTGCATTGTCTGAAGGTGATCGCCAAGGAGGAAGGTTTTAGGGGTCTCTACAAGGGCTGTTCTGCGTTACTCTGCAGGGATTGCTCTTCTTCTGCAATCTATTTTCTTACCTATTCTGCTCTGTGTGAGTGGCTCACACCAGCTGGGAAAAATAAACCCGGTAGGTATCAAGAAAGCATGTGGCATTATCTGCAAAGATAGCTTATTTAGTACCACACTAGGAGGGAAATCAGGCTCTCAGCAAACATCACCCAGTACCGATAAATGTCACCCAGATCTGGTCTTTGCACCGGGTTGCTGTGTGTTTACTTCCTGGCACCCTGGGGTTGTTTGGGGCCCCCCAACCCCGGCGTGGGTGCCAGCAGCCCGTGTGCCAGGGCCTCGTCAGTACCACCTTGTCCCTCAGCAGCTGCTCCTCTCCCTGCAGCAGGGGTGTTTATGGCACGCTCTGGTGCCTAGCATGTGTGTATGAAATCCTCTTAATGCAGAAATAGGGTATGTAGCTACCCATGAAACATGGACAGGCCTCCCAGGAGCTGTCAGGGAGCACAGATCAGGGTCAGTCCAGAGCCCGAAAATAAAGTCCAGGCGCAGAATGTAAAGACACTTAATTTTCCCAGTTGTGACTTTGCTCCCAAAAACAACTGCTCACTTTGAGAAAAGATCAGATAGGTGACACTCAGCAAAGAGCATCTTCCTGAGAATAAAAAGGATAAGTAGACCCAGCTGAAGAGGGTGTGTGTGCTCTCTGGCTGCATCGTATCTAGTTTGTGCAGTGTTAAAATAGATGGTGTCTCTGCATGAGCCAGCGTCATGTACTCAGAAATTGCGTATGCTGTGAAATCCGGGGGTCACACTGTTTGTCTGAAATCACTGGGAACACACAACTGCAAGAGCTGGACAAAATAACTGCTGGAAAATATGAAAGTTAACAAAGTTAGTTCACAAATCCGAGATGCTTGTAGCCATATGAGCACAAGGCTCGGGTTAACTGCTCCTCCCTTCACTCTCTCCTGCAGGTTTCCTTGTTGTGCTGCTTTCTGGTGGTTTTGCTGGAGTGCTGGCCTGGGGATTAGCTACTCCCATGGATGTCATCAAATCACGGATGCAAACAGATGAATCGGACCAGCACAAGTACAAAGGCCTCATCCACTGTGCTAGGGAAAGTGTGAAAAAGGAGGGTGCAAAAGTGCTTTTCAAAGGACTGGGTTTAAACTGCATTCGTGCCTTTCCTGTGAACATGGTGGTGTTTGTAACGTATGAAGCTGTACTGAGATTTACAGAACGTTACACGAACAAAAAATAGCTTGTGCCAGTCTGTTCAGAGGTGTGTTTTGTTTAGTTTTGGTTTTTGTAACACAACACCCAGAAACAACTGCTGAACGTTGTCTCCTTTGATGGACAGCGTAAGAAGCATGCACATTTCAGCACAAAGCTGGATGACTGACAGCTTTGCTTTATTCTTATAGGATTACAAACTCATCAGGGAGTCTTGGACTTATATACAACCTCTCTTTTATCTTATTAATGTATTTAGACTGCAGCCACTGCTTAGGCACTTGAAACGTTTGCAAATATTTACATTCTAAAAAGTTGCTAGTCTGACCTGAGATTTTGGTAAAGGATTAATTTTGTTTTCTACCAGCACAGAAAATGATCTTCACAATCAAGGCAAGTGCTGGAGAGAGTTTATGTAAGGTGTAAGGGAAAGAATGTTGTTTTTGCAGAACAAGCCTGATAAGAATAAGGGGGCGATTCACCAGAGTGATTAACGAGAGCGATTCACAACCATTAGGTCCCTAGCCTACGGCCAGAAGATAAACGGTCCTTTTGTCAACTGTGATGACCCAGTGCTTGGAACTGGCTTTAGGTGGATGGAGATACCGAAAGGCTTGGGGAACCTGAACTTTTGAACTTTCCATCTTAGTACGCTTGCGTGCTGAGCTCATGCCTATTAACTTCTCCGCCCTGGAGAGAGCCAAGGTTCATTTCCATGAACACGGGACGTATGAGCACACAGAGGAACAGGCGTGTCTGTACACGGCAAGGCTGTACACCCTGTAGTACTCAACCCGCGAGGAACCAGGGGAGGGAACCCGCGGTCGGGAGCCAGGGCTATAAACCATCGCCCCGGTAATAAAAAGTGCTTCACAACGCGTCCTGTCTGAGCCGCTGACCATGGGCAACTGAGCGTTTCTCACATAAGGTTTAACACTACCAAGCGTGTGCTATTTACATGTATTTCCAGCACTGCATTCACTAACGTGTATCCGTGCTTCAGGCTGCAACTCTTCCTCCCCAGCTGTAATTTTCTCAAAGTACTCTACAATTAGACCCCTTTGCTAGTAGCTGCAATACGTATTTCCTTGCTTTTTCCTGCTGTTGTTTAATGAGTGGCAGACGTGGCCTGTTTACATAACCGTGCTGATGGCCTCACTGAAAGTGAAACCAGGCCCGGGCTCCTCTGCCCCCGGCGATGTTCCCGCGGCCCCCCGGCCCCTCCCGCGCGGACCCGGGCTGAGGGCGCGGCGCCCGCGGAGCTCGGCCCCGCGTGGCAGGAAAGCTCCCCTGCTCCCGGAGCGAGGGAGGGAATCGATACAAACCCACCCCGCTTCTCACCGAAAGGGCTGCCACAAAGTCTGTGCCCTAGTGGGGTTGTGCAAGTTAAAGGAGAATTGCGAAGCTGTAGGGTATAATTAAGATGTACAACTTTTAAAAAGTGCATGCTCTTCTCCCCCTAAACAGCACTGTTAGGAGCAGCCAAAAGGTTGTTTTTTTGGTTTTTTTTTTTTTTTTTTTTTTGGTCAAAGGTACATTTTGAAAGAATTTATGACGTTCCTAACACTTATTTCTTTTTCACAAAGCCATAAAGTTTCAACGACATGTCAGTTGAAAAAACCAACACCCACACTATTGCTTCAGAAGGAAAATCCTTAAACCCAGAAATATTTTAATTTGCTCACCCCGCCTCAGGAATGGCATATATGTTTTCTTATCTCTGTTTTAATCCCTGGATGATGGCATCTGGAGTGGACTGGATGCAGCCCCTGTTAGATTCTGCTTAAAGTGCATTTTTTTTGGAGGGAAAGAGGATGACTATATTTTTAAAGGAGTTCTCCTATTCAAGGTTGATGACCTTGTGGTCCATAGCCGCTTTTACCAGTTGATAGCATGGCTTTGACTACATTGAGAGTAATTTTGCAGCAGACGGGACTTGTCAGCTACTCTGGACGTATTAAAAAGGATCTTGTACCAGAACAAGTTTAAAAATTTCAGGTGCTACTAGAAAAGAATAAAGGGAATCTCTTCCACTCCAGAGACTAGTAAAAAGCTCCAGAACTGTCCTCCTGAAATCTAAGCCTTCAGCTGGCTTTTTAAACACGCTCACAGCCATGCTACCAAACAATCATTATAATTATTCTCTCACGAGTCAACCCAGCTCTTGCAGCCAACCCAAGAGTAGGGTTAAAAGCCCAGTCAGGTGCAGAGTAGGTCACCTTAAAGGTGAGTGAAATGAAAGACCCAACACTGAACCAGATTCTCTTCCAATGTGCTTATGGCCTCGGCAGCCTTCCACCCCCAGTTACATCTTGGAGCATCAGCACCAACTTCCTTTAGTCAGGAAGTCCTTACCACAGACGATTTAATTAAGTCCTCAAGATTAGAATTCCTCTTAAATGGCTCTCAAGGATCTACTACCCTCACCTCTTCCTACAAGGGACGCATTTAACTGAATGCTGTCCCAGCTGGGTAGTGATTTATTCCAGCTCTGCCTGGATGTTCTTTGGAATCAAACTCCTTAACGCTGTGTTATTCTCAGCTGACCTTGTTCTCAGGCATTACATCCTCTGAACAGAGACAGAGAGACAGTGCAATGCCTGCAGATCAGACTAAACATCCATTTATTGTTAGGCAGTGTTGATATGATCCATGGTCAACCCAAGGTTTGAAACAGAAGTAGCTCAGCTTTCCTAATAGGGTCATGCACTCAGATGACTAAAATTCTTTGGTGCTGTGGGTGTAACCGAAATACAGCTGGTTTCAAGAAAGAGGAATTACATTTGAATTGTAAAAATGAGTGGGATCAACTGTGGAAGCCAGTGAAAGGGGTTGTGAACTGTACACCTCAGGGTATTCAGCACTATATAGAAGCAGATTCTCACGTGGCCTGAACAAATGCTACATGATACAAATGCAAGCTGTATCTCCTGGCAGCTTGTTTCGGGAAGGTAGCTGCTCTGCAAGCCATCCTGTTCACAAGCCTTTACTGGAAAAAAAATACATATGCAGTGTATGGGTGACAACCTGCCTTAGAGCAAGAACGCACAGCTAATTCACACATACAAACTACCAACAGGTACAGGAATTGCCTGTGTAAGTACTGTAAACACAGGCACATAGACAGGAACCAAATTCTGTTTAACGACATGACATATTGTACATAATATGTACTTCACTACATACACACCAAACTGGGTGTTTGTCTTCTGGATTTCAGAACTTGACTGCTTTATTTTCTGATTTATTCGTATTACCTTGACTTTCAGCTACTCTGATAATCACAGAGCTGTTTAGTCTGATAAACTAGCTATCTGAAGGTGGGCTAGCATAATGAAGACACCACGTTTGCTGTGCTGATACTGGGTTTACATTGCTATAGGGACTGCAGTTTGTTGTATAGATGATTTCTTTCAGCAACAGAGTTGGTGGCCTTGTAAAAAAAGAAAGTTTTCTTTAGAAGTCACCTTCTTCATGTTTTCATATTGCTGATAATTCCTATTTTCTCTGACAATGTTTATGAATATCCAAGTAGGTTTCAGCATGCATCTTGGTGGCTGTGGAAGAGCCATGTGAAGCTACTCCGAATCAGTGCTCTTCAGACAGCAGCAATTGTGGAGTGTCATGTTTCCACTTAAGTACAGGTCTTTGCACTAAACCTGCTGAAGTGTTATCGTAAGCCGGACACACTGACCTTCCCCTGTTCCTGAGTTGGCTGCTGTACATGGGGAAATGCAACATTCAGTCTTGCCTGTGACCAGCTAATCTTTGGACAACTGGCCCTCAGCAGCTTGCTCTGGGAGCAATTTGAAGTCTACCTGGCAGAGTGGATAGAGGGGGTTATAAGGCACCCTATTTCACTACTTGAAAGGTAGTGGACATCAAAACATGGCCCAACTCCATCAGATGACTAAATCAACAGTTAAAAAGGTATGAAGAGAGGTCAAAAACAGAGTAAGTGTAAAATAAGCCTTTTAAAAATTAAAAAAAAATGAGTAAAATCAAAGAACTTTGATACAGTGTTTTATCTACATTTTTATTACAGTGAGATGAACAAAATATGAGTAAATTGAACGAACATTGCCTGATAACAGTCTTTGACATTTCACACGTGGTTTTGAAGACTGCCTTGTCTAGTCTTTTAAATATCTCTGGGACATGAATTGTAATTACAACAGATTTAGGAATTTGCCAGGACTCCTCTAAGAAACTGTATCATTTCAGAAGCGTGTTTATAAGAATTCATCAGAGTACTTGAGTAAGGTGCTTGCTGAGTAAACACATACTAAATATTTTTGCTATCGCTTTCCTTTCTATAACTTTCAAAACAGATTTTAAATGCTGTGTTGTAAGATTAACCCATATGCTTATTTAGAATAGAACACGCTACTGTTTCTCCTACAGCATATTTCCCTTTCTTGAATAAATGAAATAGATCTTGCAGGACATATTTGCATATAATATTTTAAAGAAGAAATTTGCATTATGAGTTTGTAAAAGCCCTTTAAAAGTCTATTTAAGTCTTACCTTTTATATATTGTTTAAAGATGACAGAGTGGACTGCAAGAACAGGAAGGTCATCATTGAAGTCTACAGTAATCAAGAATTAGTTTACTTATTACTGGATTTAAGAAGCTATTTTTTTTTTTTCCTAAGAATTGCTCCACCACTTTTTTGAAGGAAAAGCAACAAAAAAAGGCTTCTCTACTGATTGTTAAATACTTGTTAGCATACAGATACCATGTCTGTGGGTTATGGAGACAATTGTTGGGAAACATTTACTTCAATACATTGAAGTCAATGCCTTAGATTAGCGATGCCAGCTCACATAAACTGTAAAGGAAAAGACAAAAGCTAAGCACTGCTGTTTTCAAGACAAGTTTGAAACACCTGCAGTAGGACTAAATTTGCCTTGCATCTCAGTCTTTCCTTGGCTTCTTACACAAACATAAACATGGGTACTTCGTATACAACTTGGCACCCAGTCACGCCCATCTCCGGGTCACTGCTAGAGAGGACGCGTGCGCTGCGGTACAGAGCCGCTGTGGCTGGGAAGGCAGGGGCACCAGCTTCATTCAGGCAGCACAAGCAGCCCAGCACATTCTCATGGATTAACAGGCTGATTCAAGGTCTGCTGAAGTAATTGAGAAGTCTCACCCTTGAAACTTCTCCCTCAACTCAAGTGTAATCAGCTGACTTCAAAGGTTCACAGTCAAATTAAAAGTGTGCTTTTTTGGTTTTTAATTTCCTTTTATTTATGTATTTATTTTTTTTAGAATGCTACAATTTATATATGTCCACTAGGCCTCACAGTACAGAACCTGTTAAAGTTTAAATCTTTCATATCTCATTCAAGTGCTTTCCTTATATTTTTAAATGATTTGCAAATACCACACATCAGTACCCACCTGTGTTATCCAAGTTACTTTTATTTGATATAGATAAGCCTGTATCTGGGCTAGCAACTTTCTATTCTACATAAATACAAGACAGACCTAACAGTTTGCATTCAGCACTGTTAAGACAAATTAGCTAATAATTTTTCTTCCATAAATCATAGCAAAGACATTGAAGTTCTTTTTAAGAAAGGAGGTAATTAAATATTACATGAGGTATTTTAACAGAGTATATTTTCCTCACTGGAATACATCTTAAAATAAGTACCCTTAGATTAAATGACTTGGTGCAGTAAAACAGAACAGACTAGAAGTATCCTTGAGTCCAGCAGTGACTGCATTTTCACAGCATGATTTAACACTTGGTATTTTTTATAACTAAAATTTGCATTTCTATACTATCTTTATAATCTCGGGATAACCTCCTCTCCCTCCAGAGACAGTCAGACCAGTTAAACAGCTGCAGCAACAAAGTACAGAGAGATTTCTACCACTTGCCCCAGGTCAGAGAGGAAGATGATAGCAAAACCAGCCCGATACTCTTTCTCCCATGTCCAACTCACAGGTCTCCATCCTTTCTGTACTGATCCTAGGCCTAAATCACTATGTAATCTACTTCGTAACATTCACTATCTTTTTGTGTGCAGCATGTTCCCAGTAGCTCAAAAGGACATGCAGTCTACTAAACCAAGGTACACAGGACAAGAGAAAATGGAGCTCCTAGTTATTAGTTTGAGATATAACCTCCTAGCAACATATCTAAAACAATTTACAAGTTAGGCTTTATCATCAAAGTGGAAGTTTTATTTATATTTTCAACATGAAATACAGTAAAATACAGTGTTGTGCTGACAGACATGCTTTTCTGCAAGATTGGGCAATTCTGTCTTGTGTATTCTGATTTTAAATAGATATGAGTTTTATTTTAAACTTTTCCTGTACTCTGACATTCATTGTCATTAATTCATTAAAAGCAATATTTATAAAGCACTGATTGCAGGCTTTACATAACTAGGGAGTGATGACATACAACAGAAGACAAAAATTACTCAGTTTTGGTTTATCAAGTGGTAAGGTACATACACTTTTTTTAAAATTCAAAAGCTAGCTTCCGTGGAGTCATAAATTGCTTCACCATTTCATCTGTGACCTGCTTCCGTCTCTCTTGATGAGCTGCTATCAAGGGCTGCAATGTTTCAATAAGAACCTTCTTCAGCTCCCCTGTGAGCAACTCCCCACTTGTGTATGCCTGTCAAGAAAGTGTTGATTGCTAAATATGGTGCTACATGGAAAAAAGACTCAGTGACAAGTATTTCTTTAAAAGTCTGGTCCTATCAAATACAGATTTGGATGTCTTAGAAATGAGTACATGCCTTAGAAGATCATGTGGTATCACTGAAAATGTAACTTGCAAAACTGCTTGTTGCCTTTTCAAAGATTAAGGCAGCTGGGCAGTTTCATATGTGACAAATTACGTGGACTGAATAAGCTACATTCACAAGAATTTAACTGGGAAACCCTGTAATTATTTGCAGAAAACTGCATATTTTTCTTCCCAGGATGCCAGTTCAAATAAACAGTCACCCTAAGCTGTGTTTTGCAGTAAAAGGTATAAATTCTCATATTTTTTCTCTCATTGCATTTGGGTGAGAGATTAGATGTGATTTAAGTATCCTTTTTATAGCAAAGACACTCAGAATCTGTGTTCATACTAGTAGTCATATTCACAGCTGGTGATCTGTTCGGTTGCTCCAATACTGAAAATGCCTTAGCTAGAAGCCCAGGCAAACAGCTGACTGGTTCAGCCCTGGTTAGAAACCAAGTCTGGGGCCACTCAGCTATGGTCTGAAATGGCAATAAACATGACAATCTTACCTCCCCTTGTCCTCAAGTCATTTGTGACACCAATTCAAGGTGCAACTGTTGCTGATGCTCACTCAGCAACAGCAAAATATGTTAACAAGAATGAACTGAAGTGTTGGTGTTTTTTTTTTTTTTTGGGGGGGGTGGGGTGGGGTGGTGGTGGTGTATTTTTTTTTGTTTGTTTGTTATAAAAACACTGATACTGCTTTCTCTGAGCATCCACTTATGAAAGCTTCTCCCCCTGACACTATAACTCAAACAGCTCCACTAATGCTACTATCAGCAGTGACTTCATGTTCTCTAATCTGGTTCTGAGGCAGCACTGCAGCAAGCTGCTGGCTGTGGTCTAGGATTTGAGCTCTGTAGCAGAGCTGTGCTGATATTGTTGCAGTGGTTGGAGACTAATGGAAAAACTGCTCAATGTGTCAAATGTACTTCAGATTTTCATAAGGAATTTACAACAGTTTGCATGGGGATTAGTAGCTATCCAACCCTGCTCTTGTGTAGGAGAGAGTAGAAGGCTGGAGAAGAAACTGTAGCTCTTGACTTTCTTGCAGATGTTCCCAGTAGGAGAAAGATAATAAACCGATGTGACATGGGTACTATCAACTACAGATACTGCTTCCCAGAGAACACATACTGCCTAGTATTGATGATGACCATATAGCTTAAGGAAGTGAAATGTCTTGCTACCACCCTCAGGGACAGAAGTCTGTCAGACAGGTTTAAGGACAACGCAATTTATATGAAGCAGTTTTTGCTTGTGATCAGTGAATCAATTCCTCATAGCTATTACATTTCTTGTGGTAAGAAAAAAATAGAAAACCAGCAAGCTTTAGACATGAGCTTTTGTAATTTTGCAGAGTATTTAGGAACCCTGCACATAAGGAACAGGCAGAGTGTATTATACAATTAAAACAACATTAATCCTAAGGTGTCCTCATTTGAAAGGTAGGGGAGATGTTGATCTACACAGTGTCAAAGATCCTTATGAAAATACTTTTTTTTTTTTTTTTTTTTTTAAGAAGAGCTAGACTGACCTGTGAGAAAGAAGAGGACTTAATACTGTAAGGGATGGAGAGCACAAGAATAACAACATAATTACCTTCCTGGTGAAGGTTCGTAGGAGGACTTAGTTACAGCTTTGTCCTCACAATAAAGAATGAATAATACTATCTTCAACTTGCCTACTTACCTGCTTCAGTTGTTCAAGCCTGTCATCATCTTCTAGGAAGAAAGTCAGGTACATAAAAGATACGTCAACATCACAGTTACCCCCGTACTTCCTGTGCTCTTCAACAGTATCTCTGCCTCCCGAGAAGGCATGCTTGTTAATCTGAAACAACATAATGATTTTATGATCTAATTGCTACTAAATTCTGAATTACTGTATTGTAAACAGAGGTGTATCACAATCCTACAAATTCTCCACTAATGACTAGCTGAAGGGTGAGTGGGGGAAGTTAATGTAGAGCCTCAGGACTGAAGCAGGGAGGCAAAAGGAGATCACTAAAAGCCAGAAGGGAAAAATGGCTATTCACATACTCCCCAGACTGCATAACCAGACCAAAAATGAAGCAAAAGTAAAAAATAATTCTCCCAAGACTCAGTCAAAAAGGTTTTAAGCACCTTTTGCTGAAGCTGGTGCCTGTTGGATAGAACTTGTGTTTGCAGGAAATGTACTTTATATAAGAAAAAAATAAGATATTCACTTCATCAGGAAATTAATTTTGAAAGAGATAAGAAGACATGGAGAATTTTTTAGGAAATCCTAGAGAGAACCTAGCCTCCTCATTTTCTCAGGGAAAAGGAAAACAAGAGAAAGCAAATTTAAAGATTACAAACACCTGGCCAGAAAGACTAAAATTAGACAAATGCCCAATTGTTCAGTCTAAAACATGGAATACTTGCTGACTCTCCCCACCCCTTCTTCCTAGGGGGAGATGAACTACACTGGTGAATAAATCTATCTGCTAATCCCATTCCCAGTAAATTCAGAAACCACCAGCCAATTTGAAAAATTTATACTTGCGCAGAATTCTCAGAGGATGGTAATCTTCCTACAAATTTAATGAAAATCAATTGCCAGGAAGAAGGAAAAAGTATTTCTCAACCATAAGCTGAGTTTTCATTTGGCTCTTTTATCTTTTCAGATACCATCATCAACCAGCCAAGAGACACACATGCATAGGAAGTAGAATTTTTTTTTTTTTTTTAACTTCTGGTACTTAGGAACTGTTACGTATTTACAATTTCTGAACATTCTTGTCATCTGTATAACTGTCCAGTGATTTTTTGAACCTTTCTAACTACTATGTTACAGATGATGTCTTGTGGCAACAAATTACATTCAAAAATGATCCACTGATGAATATCTTAAGAAAATAAACTGCCATCTGTCACATTACATTTATTCTTATATTGTAGGACAGCCTAAATAGCTGTCTCAGTATCTGTAAAACTAAGTTTTTACATACTGTTTTGCATTTCCCTTAACCTGTCTCCTTACTAGATTTTTAAAATCTTTGCGTGAAATTATTTCTGTGTCCCTCATTTCTACAGTTTGTCTTCTTACTAAGGTAAGAGGGATTAAACACAGTATATCAGGTGAAGTCACATTACTGTTTTATACAAAATGTTTCCTATATTAATCTCAAGTTCATTTTTTACATATTCTGGCACCTACTCATTCACTGAGGGCTTCAATGATTTATCTATAGTGATGCATCTATCTTCTTCCTGAACTAGTACAGACATAGAATCTAAGTAACAGTTTCTAGGAAAACAAGCAAATAATTGAGCTGTAATTCGGTGCTGATAGGTGAAATAAGAATAGTTTACTATAATGTTCCCATTCATCTCCTTAAATTTCCCAGAAGCTTCTCAGCCTTTCCCAATATCTTGTAATTTTTCATCTTCTATTACCTGTAAGTTTTGAACCTCATTATTTAGCAATCTAGTAGTGATCTGAAAAATGCTGTAAGCAGTAATTTTTTTTGTGCAGCAGTGGCACTCTCTTTTTAACATTCATCCACCACTGGAAGTCACCTTTCCTACTCTAATATTTTATTTATTGGCCATAACAATATTTGGTCTTCCAGTGAAGTTCTACTTCCATAAAGACTTTGTTCTGAAGAGCTGCAGAAGCTGCAATAAATCTCAGTTTGTCCTCCATTACTCAATTTTCTCTTTATAGCTTTTATATTCTAAGTAGCTAGAATTATTTTGTTATTGTTCTAACTAGTGGAATGTAATGGAAGAATATTACCAACATTATCATGAACCATGTATGCTCTATTCTGAAATAATAGGCTTTTTTTTTAACTTGCAACTGTGTACCTATGCATATAAAATGGAATTATTATAATCCAAACACATGAAGAATTAAAATTCTTCAAAACAGTGATGTTTAATCAGCTTCTACATAAGACAATCATTATGAGATTACTGCAGAAGAATCTGACCTACACATGGGTTTGTTTACCATCAGAGAATTAATCCAAGCCCAGCCAGCAGAAACAACATATATGTATTTTTTCTTGTTTTGACAGAAAGTTACTTCATGTCTGATTATCATGCTTATAAATCCTTTTACAAAGACTGATTTTTATTTATTTTTTAAAATACCACAACACAGGTGAACTTTTGCCAACTAAATCATCTGACACAGGATGAGAGAGAATTTTCTCTGAGCTAGAATGGGCTGTAGGAATATAGTCAGATAGCAGAAAATAACCCGTCTAAAACTTAGGTGAAATTCAACATGATATTTATTTGTATCCTGGAGGGAGGAGTGCATGGCAGCAGTAGATCCCCAAGCAGCAGGAAAAGTCTGACCTGTGTTGTAACTGCCACTGTGCAACACCTGGTGCTCCCAGCATGGAGAGGCAATCAAGAGAAAGAGCTATTTATTTGATTTACACCATGGACTGTCAGATTTCAAAACTATGACAACATAATATTTATTTTTGAGCATGAGTCTTGACAGCTCTTATTCTTACACCACTGCTCTGTAGATATCAGACAAACAAACACGACGTTTTGTACATTATGCTAGCTAGCATTTGTACTGTTAGACTTGTTGGCAAGGCAAAGGATTGTACTTGAGAGTCTAGCTACATTTGTGTAACTTGGTCAATTCCTGAAGATGCTTTGCAATGAAACATATGGGAAAAGGATTCAGATACGTTCAAAGACAACATTAAAAAATTGTCATTGTAACCATGAGGACCCACCACGCCTTTTTGTTATAAAGCTTTGCACTCTCAGGTTTTTCAGGTCCTTACCTTTGTTTTGATTTGTTTGGGTGTATCGGTGAGGAAGATGGAAGAGTTGGGGTTGCTAGCACTCATTTTTGTCTGTGCTCCTTGCAGGGCTGGGAAGAAGACTGAGTGCAGTAAGGCTGGTTTAGGCTGTCCGATTCTAGGTGCTACATCACGGGTCATTCTAAAATAAGGATCCTAGAACAACCACCAATAAAAGCACAGAATAAAGTTGAAAAATGTGATTTAAAAGATGATTAGTGATGACTTGTTCATGCCTTAATGTGTGGTCTAAAGAAAAACAAAACCCAAACAAATAAACAAAAAAAACCCACCCCCCACCCCCCCCCAACAAACCACAAAACATTCCAGAACCTAATTCCAATCCAGTTCATCCATAGGAACAAATAAAAATCTTTTTTTAAATTTCCATAGTTTTGCTGTACAGTCTGAATCCCTCAATAAACAGGCATATTTACAAAGATTTACATGAATTCAGAGTGTTGTGAAAAGTATGCTTAGTATGCCTGGAAATGGATGCAGACTAAGATGCAAGCTTCCTCCCAATGTGTAGGAGCACAGAATCTGACCTAAATCGGTGATAAAGCTGGCACTGCTGCTTTGATCTGACTTAAATCAAGTGCAATAATATTACTACATAATATTGTGGCTGATGAATGTAATTATATCATCTTCCAGTGGCTGTCCCTGTGACTAAAATAGCTAAAGAATCAGACAGTGCAGAATCTGATTCCCAGAAACAATACTTATTTGAAGTAATAGCACTACCACTGTCATTTGTAGCTAATGCTCTTCCAACCTCTCTCTATAGGTCTAAACTGTTTCTGGCAAACTATTTCAGTGCTTCTTTATTCTTACTGATAGGAGGGTTTTCCCAACGGTTCAATGTAAATCTCTTGTGTTGTAAGTTGAGCTCATTCCATCTTGTCCTAGTTACCATGGAGATGGTCAAAAGTTTCTTCCTACCCCCCATGTCAGTATATTTTTGCATAGATTTTACTGCCTTTGCTTTCACAGATATCAGCTCACTGTGAACTGGGTTGAGATCAAGACAGATCCACAGCTGGCATGAATGAGTAACGCATGAATATATGATTTTTGGATTAAGCTTTCATCTTTGTCAGGACACAGCACAACATCCTTCCATCTCTTGCAGCTCCTGCCCCAGAAAGGTGCTTGCATGATTGTTTTACAGATGTTTCAATACGCCGCCATGAAGACTGCATGGTACATTACAAAAACAAATTAATGAAAGCCAAATTAAGTGATACAATTTTCTTACCTGATCAATAGCACATGGGATAAGACACTGAATGTTCTCCTTGCCATTGAAAATCTGTGGAAATGATGAACTGAAGGATGGAGCAGCTTGAATAGCAGGAAAGCTGATCTTTCCTAGAAAACAGCGTTTGGAAAAACTAAGCCAATATAAGCAATGATAAATAGAGAGATCTTTTTGAAATATGTGAAATGGAGAAATACATAATTCAGATACTCAGTTGAAGACCAACATCTATATTTATCAAGCAGTGTTGCCGTATCAGAGGAAACTTTTCATCTTTACCTTCTATGATGTCAACAAACTTTCAGCTAACAGAAATTAATGAAAAAACACAGGGCTGTGACCACAAAGGTTTCAGAAAAGGTTCATCAGCACATACTCTCTTCATCACTGAACTATCTACCCTTTCCAAAAATACAATTGACTTTATTATCACTCTGAGTTGCTCATTCTTTTTCTTTGTGAGAGGATGACTATAGAGCTACTTATCAGGCAAGTTCCCCTCTTAAGATCTTAGAATCACTGCTGTATGCATGCTGTACTTGTGAAGCATCTCAGGTGTGTCTGGTTTTCTTTTTATACGGTGCTTAATCACAGAGTGAACAACCTGCTTCCCTGATCAAAATTCTCTCAGAACACAAAGCAAATAGCTGATTTTTCCAAACATGTAATGAAGTCATTATCACAATACCAACTTTCATTAGAGCACAGTTAAAACAACTAGGAATCTCTTCCTTGGTTACAGTGAAGGCTGAAGAGATGTCACTGGCCCAATTACTGGTCAAAGAATTATGTCAATGCTCAGGAACACCAAGGTTTTAAATGCCATATTTGACACAGAATCTTTTCTTTTGGGTCACTGTGACAGAAATCTGCAACTGCAGTGGAGTAAATGGAAGACAGAGTCACCCAGCACCTTGATAATTAGGCTTTTGAGCACTCCTTGACTATTTTCATTTCATATATGTATATGCATGTGTGTATTAATGAAACTTTTTCTAAGAGAAAATCTTCTGTATAAATTTGGCATTTCTAGGAGGTATAATTGACTATAGCTGCAAACACTATTAAAAAAAAAAAATAAAAGGGGAGTTCTCTATCCTGGACAGTTCAATGTTCAATGTTGGTGTTTTGTACTTTGCTGTTATTAAGGCCAAAAATGTAGATATCATGCTAGAAATTTCACTGTAAAGTGTTTTCTATACTGAAGGAACCACAATAACACCCTCTTAGAATCAGCCTAGGAACATGGATCTTCTTTTTTTTTTTCTATCTGTTTCATGACTGGCAGATAGTAATCTCTTTAAATTATTACTTAAATATTGCCATAGCGAGTGAAAGCAAGCATCACTTCTAGTAACTCATTATTTCCTACCAATGCAATCACTGTCAGTAAATCCAAAGATTCCTTTCACTTGGTTAAATGTAACATGCTTCTGAACTTTGAGGATGTTTTTGTAGAATCCAGTACTTGTTCTGTGAGAAAGAAAGTGGAAAAATAAAATGAGAAGAGCAGAAAAGTGTAGGTAGAAACTTTCACTCCAAAAGCTGAGAAGTCAAAAAACCTGCAGGATTAAATCTCACTGTTTCAGACTTTTTGGGGCCCATAGAGATGATAGTTAGAAAATTATTTACAAACAAGAATTTTATGCCTTGAAAGTTAAATTTACTCTTCCCTCCCCGCAACATTTACTGCAAACATTTTTTTGGCACAATTAACTGTATAAACCCAGAAATATCTTTATTTGGAAATGGTGGCAAAATGCCTCACGGACCCTGAGGTTTACTTATCCTTATGATTATCTGTGAACTCAGGCAACCTGAATGGATCACGTCTTCTGTGTTGCTTGCTATCCCCATTGTGTATCCCATACAGGATACTGCAGTTCACCAAAGGAACAGTAGCTCAAATCCTCCAAATTCTCATTTTCTACAAGCTACATTCCCTGGTTGAACTTTCTCTGTCACCAAATACAGCAGCAGCACTTCCAAATCAAAAATAGCTCAGCAACTTCTTCCTTTTTTATGTCTGCTGAGGAGCTGAAGCTGAGAAACAGCAGTTCTGACCTGCCCTTGTTCAGCCACAGGGCAGATTTGTGTTAATGCAACTTCTGTAAGGCAGGAAAGTCAGAGGAGTGAAAGGAGGAAAAACTGACTTGTAGGCTCCACATGCTAGGGGCTGTACATTATACAGTTTGTCTCCAAAACATATATTATCTCATTCAAATCTTTAAGAAAGCTCATCACCCCACATGGAAGAACAAAGCCCACAACTTCAGATCTGAACTCTGCCATAAAACTTCTTCCTTCTGAGAAGGCCATTCCAATAGCAGTTTCTTTTTCTTAAATCTTCTTTAAACTTTACACAAAGTTCAAATAATAATATTATATGCTATATTGTTAAATTAATTGTCCACAAATTTTTGAAATGTCTTTTGTTAATGCAGCTAAAGTTTAAACACATCTTAAATATTTTGATACCATCTTAAACAAATCAATCTGGAGGTTCCTAGGTGATTTAGGTGTTTTTACAATTTAGCTGATTTAATATATTTTTCATAATTTAAATTTAAGCATTGCACATACAAATATTTGTTCATATATTATACAGGAGAATGACAATAGTATATATATATAAAATGTTAGAAAATTTAGTAAGTTTCTATTTTAAGTGTTGTAAATCTTGTCTTGAATCTGTGAATTTTAGATGCATTTAATTAAAATATTGCTGGCTGTCAAAGTTGGAGAGAAAATACAGTCACTTCTTTTTCATTACAGTGCCCTAAAGAAATTATACTTACCCCAAATAGTCTAAATCAGAAAATATAAAGGTTTTATTAATGTCAAAACCACAGGCAATGATGTCTCTTGCATTTTCTCGAGAATACTCATATGCCCTTTCAGTTGTCAGGTCCTTCCAAAGGTATTTCTCATCATCAGTTAACTGTATAACTAAGGGAACATCAAATACTTCTTGCAGCCACCTAATAAAAGCAGAAGGATTTTATCTTGAAGTAAGTTAAAATGAAGATGTAAGTCATGCAGCTAAAGTATTTTTATAGATTTAAATAAAAGTATATAAAGAAGTTGGCTTCTCGTTTCTTTGTATATAAACATTTTATACAGAATAAACATTATATACAGATTATATACCAATTTACCTGAAAAAAAGACTCACACTTACCATTTCCTGTACAAATGATACTGGTCACCATTTGCAATGGAAAAAATTCAAAAAATACTTTTAGCTCTTTGAGTCCAAGGTCTCTGTGTTCTGCTGCTGCAGGCACTGCATTACAGAGTAATGTTACTAAGCCTCATCACAATCTTATTTTTAAGAACAAAAATTCTAAGGAGTGCCACAGGGCTACCAGTGCAAGGGAGAGGTCTTTATGGGGATGTATGGATTATGATCTTTTTAGTGAAAAGGTAAGATAGCACTATGTTCATTAATATTTACCTCACATAAACAGAACTCCCTGCAATAGATAATTTTGGCAGTTCCATAAACCATGTTCAACATTTTCTTATAAAAAAATGTTTTGATTAATACAAACGGTAGAAACAACTTACTTTGTGAATATAAATGGGATAAGATGACCAACATGCATTGCCTGAGAGGATGGCCCTCTGCCTGTATAAAGGTAAAAGGACTTCTTATTTTCATAAGCATCGAGGATTTGGTCCATATCTCTAAAGAAAAAACAGAGAAAACACAATGCAACTCTTTAGGAAGAAACATCCACAGCAAAAAGCTTCTATTAAAAATCTGAGTGCTTTTAAAGACAAATGTATTTATAAATAAAATATAGTATGTTAAGTGTCCTAGAAATAAAAAAGGTTGTGGTTGTTCATTTTTATTAATTTAAGAAAAGTATAGTCTCCTCCAGTCTCCATGAAAAAAAAAAATCAAAGAAAAATTCAATTAAAATTTAAATTAAAACTCAATATTTAAATCAAAATAAAAAAATAGTGCAACTTCTAAAATTACTTAATTGGATAATAATTTCTAAGGCCTAGTAAAACAGAGCTGGGAATCATTTCCCAAATAGATTCAGACTACCAGCTTGGAATGGTCTCTGGTGGAGGTTATGACCCGAATCACTCAGGCATTTACTTGAAATGTGCTAGCTGCCATAGGGCAAAAGCCCATGTATGCTAACAATTAAACAGTGTAGATTATTGGCAGGCTGGTGTTTAAGATTATTCCCTTAGCCTTTTTTATGTAACAGTACAGATGCATAGGTCCACAGGCCACAAGGACACTTGCTGAAATCAGCAGTGACACCTTATGAGCCCGGGAGTTCTCTGCTAGGGCAATGCCTTTGTCTGTCTGCTAATGTAGAGTCAAAATGGAACCTGTACAAAGCAGATTCTGTGCACATTTCTTCAATTTGGGATTAGCAACGACATATCAGAAATTCATGCAACTAAGTGTTTCCAATGTTGCCTGGGGAAATCTGCAGTACTTGCTAATTTCAAATGACACAGTTGGTTTACCTTGGTATAAAAGAACATGGTCTTTTGCTAGTAATAGGTTTCTCCCAATAATGCTCACAGAAAATCTATCTAATAGGACTTTTTTGAACTTTAAAACAAGAAAAACTCACCTGTGAGAAAAGAAGATTCCTCTACGTAGAAAGCGGTGAGGTTTTTGTCCAATAGCTCTTTCTATTCGATTGATCAGGTCTGTGTCAATTTTACTGCTGCCAAACCGAACTATAATCATAAAATGTTAAAATAAATAAATAAATAAACAAACAAACATAGCATAGCTATAACCAGATCTTGAATTACCAAGAACATACCAATGCAGTCTAGATTAAAAAGGCCATCTCCTTGAAGTCTCAGGTAAAAAGGCTACATTTGCCTGAAGTCTCAGCAATCATTTCTTGTACGAACTCTGTGTTAGGATGCCCAGTCCATTCACAACACATACTATTGCTCCATCCATGACTGATTATTATTGAAGTCTCCTTACAGCAGAAGTATTGATATCGGGAACCAAAAACATTCCAAAGAAACATATTTAGGTCAGTAACTTGGCCTCTGTAGGCCGCAGGATAAAAATGACTGTGAGGCTCTGAATGTTTCTCTTGATGTCTAAATTTTCTACCCTCAGATCACATGCTTTTTCACTTTCCAACCCCAAATACTCTTCTGTAAACTTAATTCTTCTTTTATATGGATATAATTACAGACACTACTCCCCTCAAGAGGCTTGAAAAGGTAATGCATAATATTCTTCATGTAAATCAAGTAAGACATTACTTGGTGGTTTAGGAAATCAATGAAACAGCATTTTCAGATGTAGTCATTTCATCCAAAAAAGGTTCTGATGGAGTGAAATAGCAGCATATTTCCCTATTCCTAATCAAACTGAATTGGGGAACTCTTATTTCTTCAGTAAAGCTCCCTATACTCCAGTCACAATTCCTGGACCCTAATAAGCAGGTCAGTGCTCCATGATTTGGACTTGATTGAAAAAATCTACACAAGAATCTACTCTTTGCTACTGTTCTGCTCTATTCAACATTAGAACAACTTGCACTATTATTGGAAATGCTGAAATATTCAAAAGAACAAAACAGAAACTCTGGATGCAAACATACATTTTATATGTACAAAATATCTAGATCCATCTATTACAACTATCTTATTGAAGAGACTACACTGGCAAGTTCCGTGGTTATAAGACACATGTCTACATTGGAGAAGTACTTCAGGTCTTCCTAGCTGTAACAGGACATAATCATTCCACAGAAACATATTGCTGACACTTGAAAAATTTCAAATATCTTGACAGTTTCCTAAGGAAACCAGAAACAAATTCATTTTAAACCCTTCATTATGCAGCTAGTAAACTATGATTTACATGACTACTGTACTTCTGCCCTGTGGAAACACAAGTCACTTTGAATGCCCCACACAGAATCAGGTTAACTTTGAATTCTCTCCTTCTGCACATTCCTGCTTCTAAATTTTTGATTTCTTTTTGAAGCCAAAAGCTAGTAGCACTAAAAGCCTTCCTGCAGGAATATCATAATTAACTGAAATGTCCTTCCAAAGACTACAACTTTCTCCCAGAGCAGGTAGGTTGCTAATGTTACATCCTAGCACATGGTCATGATCCTTAGATGGACAGTGTAACAGTTTACACCACTGGACAGGAGAAAATTATTCCAGCTGGAGGCAGAGCTCTCCATCTGTGCTAGTTACCCAACGTACTGCCTTGGGTACACAACTCATTTTACAAAGAAAACCTGCTGCAGGGGCAGCAAGGAATATTAAGCACATCAGTGTAATTTGAAAAGACAAATATTCAGGCACTCTGGGCTTAATATTATACTAGACTAGACTAATTTCTTCCCTAGAAAAGGGAAAGGAAAGAGGCCTTCCATCACCTTACAGCACAGGTTCTTGAAAGGCAGTATGAAGGTATTTAGTTTATCAAGTCTGCATATATCTCAAAAAAGATTATTTAAAACCATGGCCATCCTAATCATTGAGACTGCAGTGCCCCCAAGAGATTTATGAGGGACAGAAGAGTCAGACCAACAAGTACTCTGGAGCACCAAGATGCTGAGGAGTCCTGTGTACAGTGAGTTCCTCTCTTACACTCTGTCTGAAAATGGGGATGTGTGTAAGCTTGTTATGTGACCTGTTTTTTCATTTTGTTATATGAACTATTCACTGAACAGCCTTTTACAAACAAAAGTCAGGAACCACCATGGAAAGAAAGACTCAATCTTGACAGGAAAGAAGAGTGGTAATGTATCAAATTTGAGCATCAACTTGGAGGTAAGCATTTCTGCTGTTCCAGACCCTCTATACACATTTCATTTTCTTCTAGAATTACTGGATATGCACAGCATTACTATGAGGTTTTGTATGTAACCACTGAAGTTAATAGGAATTAAATGTTATCACAGAATCAGGGAATGGAATGGACCTTTAGAGGTCATCTAGTCCAACCCCCCCTGCAATGAGAAGGGACATCTTCAACTAGATCAGATTGCTCAAAGCCCTGTTCAACCAGACCTTGAATGTTTCCAGGGAGGGGACATCTACCACCATCCTGGGCAGCCTGTTCCAGTGTTTCACCACCATCATTGTAAAAAAATTTCTTCCTTATTTCTAGTCTGAATCTACCCTCTTTTTGTTTAAAACCATTACTCTTTGTCCTACTGCTACAGGACCTACTAAAAAGTTTGTCCCCATCTTTCTCATAAGCCCCCTTTAAGTATTGAAAGGCACAAAAGCCTTCTCTTCTCCAGGCTGAACCCAGCTTGAGGAGACTGATGACGGGGACTCCAATATTAAGATCAAAGACCCCTTATTAATCAGAAAGCTGCGTTTTTATCCCCCTAAAAAGCTGTCCACGCCCCCAATATAAATGCTTATTGGTTAACATTTGATTGGTCATTACCCTCTGTCCATAATACACCAGACAACTCATTGGCTACAAGTTAGTTACTGCTATCCTAAGCCTATTGGTTAATTAAATCTTACAAGCACAAGCACAACATCTTATACACTTTTAGCTCAAGGCACTGTTTAAGAAATGGCCAGATGTTTTCTGTTAACCATAGCCTTGCATGTTTTCTTCAGAAAAAGCTCAGCATCCTTATCTTGTTTTTCTACATTCCCGTTTGCTGCTCCCAAGGCTTCTGGCCGACCAAGGTCAAGATGTCCTCATCATTCACTAGCTATACAGCTCTCTCAGTTCTTCTTCCCAGCTGTCCTGCTACACCAACTCTCTTGACCTTTTCTCATAGGAGAGGTTTTCCATCCCTCTGATCACTTTTGTGGCCTCCTCTGGATCTGCTCCAACAGGTCCATGACTTTCCTGTGCTGAGGACTCCAGAACTGGACACAGAACTCCAGGTGGGGTCTCACAAGAGCAGAGGGGCAGAATCACCTCCCTCGAGCTGCTGGACACACTTCTTTTGATGTGGGCCAGGGTACAGTTGGCTTTCTGGGCTGCTAGCAAACGTTGCTGGCTCATGTCCAGCTTTTTATCCACCAATACCCTCAAGTCCTTCCCCTGAGAGCTGTTCTCAGTTCCTTCATCCCCTGCCTGTATTGATACTGAGGGTTGCCCCAGCGCAGGTGCAGGACCTTGCACTTGACCTTGTTGTACCTTCACAAGGGCCCACTTCTTGAGCTTGTCCAAGACTCTCTGGATGGCATCCCGTCCCTCAGGCGTGTCAACTGCACCACTCAGTTTGGCATCTGCACCATTATCCAATGGGAAACAAGTTCCTGCTTACAACTGTGCATTCACTGCAGGTGAATCAAGCAGGGTATCACACAAGTGAAGCACTGGGCCCACCCACTGACCCATTAAAATAAACGTCACTAAAAAAGATGAATGCTGGTACAAGATTCAGCAACCACCGCTTTAATCTGAATATTTTCTGAGTGTTATTATTGCATCAACTTTTCCAAGTAAACCTTAATTACTGAATTAATTTCTTCCTAGCAAATAAAATGCATCCCAAAAAGGCAAAGTAATTATAATCTGGATGAATGTTAAAAAGAGACCAAACGAACATGAAAATGTTTGATTCAGAAGAACAATAGCAACTAGTAAGAAGCTAATCCTACAGAAACAGAAAACATGAAAATGCCCCGGATTAATTGCTGCTAGCCACCCTAGAAATACTTGTATATCATCACAGAAAGTGATTAAAAGCTCTCTGATATATAGACCACTTCCCTGGAAATGCCTGAATATCTTTATTAAACATTCACAGACTGCACAACTCCTTTTTCTTTACCCATCTTCATCCTTTCTGTTAAAAAATGGGGTAATTTTTCCTTACCTACTTCCTCTTACTCCTCTTATGAGGATGTTCAGAACACTTTAGGCTCCCTATCCACAAAGAATCTGCCTTCCTAAACAGCTTCTGACAAGGACATAGTGTCCACTTGTTAAGAAACTTTAAAAATATTCCTATCGTGCTTTTGATCTCTAGTATTCTAGCTTTTACCAAAAGACAGTTTTCAACTCACTGTACATAAGAAGTCCTGAGAGCTACCATTTATAAAAGCATATCTGCATTTGCTGCAAATTTATTGTGTACTTTTCCTCTTTGCCATTGCTATGTTATATTTGCAAACAGAAGACTAATAACCTACTATTTGTTATACAGTAACTTTACTAACCAGGCCAGTCTCAGTAATTTTTGGTCATGGCAACTGAGAGAGGTTCCTGGGGGCTGGGAGAAAGCAAATACCACTCCTACATTGAAGAAGGGCAAGAAGCAAATAATCCTGCAAACCATTCCCAAACTTTATTAAAGACATGAAGGTGACTGGGACTAGTCAGCATGGATTTATGAAAGGGAAATCATGCCAGACCAACTTAATAGACTTCTATGATGATATGACTGGCCTAGTAGATGAGGCAAGAACAGTGGATATTGTCTATCTCAGCTTTAGTAAGACTTCTGACAACATCTCTCATCTCATTCTCATAGATAACTGACGAAGTCTGGACTAACTAAGTGGACAGTAAGGTGAACTGAAAACTGGCTAAACTGTCAAGCTCAAAGAGTTGTGACCAGCAGCACAAAGTCCAGTTGGAGCCCAACGTTTTTGTGTATTTTTTGTATCTCAGGGGGTTGATACTGGGGCCAATACTGTTTAACATCTTCATTAACAACATGGATGATGGGACAGAGTACACCCTCAGCAAGTTTGCAGATGAAACAATACTGGGTGTAGCTGATACAACAAATGGTTGTGTTGCCATTCAGAGGGACCTCAGCAGGCTGGGGAAATGGCCTGACAAGAATCTCATGAAGTTCAACAAAAGTGAATGCAAAGTCCTGAATCTGGTGAGGAATAACTCCGTGTACTGGTACAGGCAGGGGGGCAACTGGCTGGAAAGTAGCTTGGCAGATGTCTTGGTTTGGGCTGAAATAGAGTTAATATTCCTTTTCAGGGACTAGATGAGTTCTGTGTTTTGGATTTAGCTTTGGGTTTGGTATGGGAAAAATGCTGATAGCACACTGGTGTTTTCAGCTGCTACTGAGACTTCAAGGACTCTCCGACTCCCCATGTCCTGCCCGTGTGCAAGGGCACAGGGAGCAGGGAGGGAGCACGGACAGAGCACCAGACCCTAACTGGCCAGTGAAATATTCCCTATCATGGAACGTCATGCTCACTGTATAGAGGAGGGGTGGGTGGGAAGGAGCTCTCTCTCTCACTTCTGGGATTGTGATTGCGGGATCTTGGTATCTCGGGGTCGCTGGCCGGGAACGGGCTGGGGATTAGTCAGCGGGTGGGGAGCAATTATGCTGTACATTGCCTGTTTATATATTTCTTTTTTTTTTTTTCCCCCTATCATCGTCATTGTTCTCATTTCATTACCATTATTAAACTGTTCTTATCTCAACCTGCGAGTCTCCCATTACCCCTCTAATTCCCTCCCCCATTCCCAGGTGGGGAGGGGGAAGGGAAGGTGACCAGCTGCGGGGGTTGGCAGCTGACCAGGCTCAAACCACGACAGCCGACAAGGATCTTGGAGGCCTAGGGTCCTGGTAGACAAGGAATTGAACATAAGACAGCAATGCACTTCTGTGGCACTGGAATGCCAAAAGCTTTATGGGCAGCATTAGGAACAGCATTGCCAGAATGTTGAGGGAGGGGATCCTTCCCCTCAGCACTGATGAGACATCTGGAGCTCCAGCATAAGGACATGGACATACTAAAGTGAATCCAGCAAAAGGCCATAAAGATGAAGGGCTTAGAGCATCTGTCATACAAAGAGAGGTTGAGAGAGCTGGGATTGCTGAGTTTGGGGAAGAGAAGGCTCAGGAAGGATCTTATCTATGTGTATAAATATGTGATCAGGGGATGTGGGGGGGGAGTAAAGAAGACAGCACCAGACTTTTCTCAGTGATGCCCAGTGAAAGGACAAGAGGCAACGGGCACAGTTTGAAGTAAAGGAAATTCCATTTAAACATATGGAAAACCTTCATATTGTGCACATGGTCAAATACTGGAACAGTTTGCTCAGGAAGGTCATAGGATCTCCATCTTTGCAGATAATAAAAATCCTACTGGAAAAGGTCCTGAGCAACCTGCTCTAGTTGACTCTGCTTTGAGGAGAGAAGTTGACTCAATGATCCGCAAAAATCCCCACCAACTTTGACCATTTTATATAATTTGCAATATTCAGCTCACTAAATTATCAGCATGGTTAATGGACACAAAGCTCATCCCTCTGCTCTTTGCTCACACTCAAACAAACAAACAAAAATTTCTAGGGTGGTTCATGTCTAGTACTTAGCTAACAGAACTTTTCTTCCCAGAATATCTTCAGGCTGTTTTGTTGTGTAGCCGTACACTTAAGTGCATGTCTAGGACAACTATTTGAGAAGACTATCCCTTTCAACTACATGGAGCTTTTAGCACTTTAATTTCCCCTACGTTTGAATAAACACAAGCACACCAGCAACTTTCTCTTATTAAATAGTAAATAAATAAAAAAAAATAATAAAATAATATCATTAAAAAAATAGTCACTAGTAAATAAACAGATTATAGGTGGCACAAAAATCTCCTTTATGATAAGAGCTATCAGATGTCAAATTCTTTGACAATACTTTTTATTAATATTTTTAAAAGGTGGAGAAAGAGGAGGAAGTTTATCAGTAACAAGCAGTAACTGTTTCACTTCCTGAAATAGCTAGACTAGCATTCTTCTCTAAAAAATTTCCAACACAGAACTTGTAACAAGCAAAATGACTTGTCCACCAAATTCCCCAATCTGCTAGTAGTGTAAATAAGTGAAAACCCCTTACGCTATCCCATCAGTGTAGGGTAGATCAAAAGGTCATACATACACGCACATACACAAACAGTTACTGGAAAAAAGGGCATTGCTGTCAGGCTTTAACACAGCTATAGAGAATTCCTTTACAGCTAGTTACCCTCAGAAAGACCTTGAGATTGTGCCAACACGAGTACTCTGCTCATACCACTTTTCTACAAGACTCAGACACACCCCCAAGAAAACAAAAATCCTTCTACATACATACATACCTCCTACAAAAGTAAAAAGATGATGATGGATCTTACCCACTTCTAGATTCTACCAATTATCTTTTTTCCTTCTCCCCCACTGACATATCTTTTTCTTTGCACAATTCTCCCTTTCCAACTTTTTCTTTCTATTATCTTCTGCAGATGAAGCCAATATGCACATACTTTTGACATGATCTTACAATAACATCATACAGAGTTAAAAAAATGCTGACACTAGCGAGTCCCAAAAGCAAATATATGGTTACTGCCACATACGGGTGTATGCTCTACTGTGAGAAGCAAGCTACTAAGCAGACACCAGAAATGTCTAACTGAGGTACTAAATATGAATTGAAGATTGACAATAATGGAAAAAAAAAAGCAAAAAATAATAAAAATTAATAGCTCTCTCACTTGTTTCTATGCTAGACTCAAACAAGCTACTAGAATAGTGGACTGTAAAACAAATAAGGAAATTAACTAAACCCCGGCTTCTTAAATTAGAAAACTTTTCAAGTTTTGTAACACCCCTGTCTAAAATAGTTTCCATTACACTGCATGTTTTTTGAAAGAGCTGCATCTTCTTCATTCCAGCCAGCGCTTGGCTGCTTGATAGTGTGTCTTCTGAAGAAGTCATAACACTTATAGACTTCTGCATTAGTTTTGGATCATCCCTGCTGTCCCTAATTTGGAAGTCAAGGCAGATGTGGAAAGAGGGTAGGAAAAATCCTACAGTCTGGCCAGAATGCACTAGGATCTAGCTGATCTGCATCACAGCCACTGAAGGTGCAGTTATTGTTAATGAAGAACTCAGTCACAGTGTCTTCATTAACATAACTTCTAATAACAGTTCTTATGCCAAAAACCAAATTGCAAGTACAATTTATTTTAAACTGAGAAGTTCTTTGCAAAGTACTTAAGTCTTCCATAGGAAATCCCTGCCTGGAACATTTTCAACTCCTACAGCAAATTTTTTAGACAAGAGAATGCTAAGATTAGACAGAAATTAAATGTTACTTATGGATGGTTTTGATCAGGATTTGTTACAATCCCTTGCTGGTTTTGTGGTCATTAGAATCACTTTACATAAATTCCTTAGCAGCAGTGAATTAAGAGTTATACCTATGAGTTTGTCATAATCCACGCCTTTAGCATTCGATGTCTGCACAGTCCAGGGGTCCACAAAATCCTCATCCTCTTCTTTAGTTGTACCATTGTTTATTAATACTAGATCTCTTGGAGGCAAGCCTGCCTGATAATCTTGTCCCGTTGTTGTTTTATATGACAGTTTTAATGATAACAGCATCCTCACTGCTGCTTCAATTTCATCCTGAATAAAGGAAAAAAAAAAAAACTGACTTAACACATTTAAGATAGACAATTACATTAATGTCCTAACCTTTAAAAATCTTGCATACATACTTTGACATGAATTGCATTGTTCATAAACTCTAAGCCTTTATTTAAATGTTTGCAGCATCACTGTCAAAAGAAAAGCAAATAGCATGTAACTGCTTCCTAATCAGCAGAATTTAGAGCATCACCATTACCAAGATATGTAAAGCACCTCCGTCTCACTTTTCAATTTCTGACTAGAAAAAAAAAAATGCTTGCTTGTTTTTCAGAGGTATAACAAGATTAACTTTTTAAGCACAAATTCTAAGATATGTAAATATAAATGATTATCTAATTTACTTTACAATGCTTTTAGTGACTCACCTTAAAATAATTTATTTATTACAAATCATTGACAGACTTGAAGACAAACTAGGACAAAAAATTCTTTACAATTTTCATGGTTATGACCTTTTTAATACAAAGCTATTTTATCATCTCATGCAAACAATAAACAGATCAACACTTTATTCAATTCCCAGTTTTCAAGGTTTACTCCCACAGGCTATACACTAAGACAGCCCATATTAAAACTGAGCTCTCTTGACAAAATAGTGATGACAAAATAGGGAACTTGAAATTAATGGCAAATTACTACATTATTTATGGGACATTAAGCAGGGATGGTCAGTACAACTACAGGAAGACATATTTGCTAATGTGTATAATAATGCATGAAGAAATCTAAAACCAAGAAAGAATGCAAGTGATATAAATTTTACTTGAAAACCAAATGCCTTGGGTCCTGCCACATATCATGGCAACTGGCTGAAACAGATTTCTAAGCCCATGACTCTCTGTTCTTACTTCAGGAGCAAAAACTTTGCTCTTGCTAGTGACTACCTTGCTCTAGGTATGTCCACAGTTCACAAAATGGACATAAATATTTTTTAACAAGAAGTTTTCCTTACTGCAATACAAAATAGATTTCAGAACAAACATATTCTTCACCACTGTTAAAAACAGGCCTAACTTGAATAAGGATGGGCTCAAAACATGGAATGGAATTACCTTCTGTGCTCTTCCTGCTTTCAGTGCTCTGACTTTCTCTCCTTGTTCAGTTACTCTTTCAAACAGCTGAAGCGGACTCAGAGATTTCAAATCACAGTTTGGACTGTCAGCCATCTTGCCAGACTGCAAAATACCTGTTTATTTACAATTCAACTAAATTTAACGTCTTCTAATTCTTTGGCTTGTAGATTCAAAACAGCAGCAACAACAAGGAGAACTGTAGGGCAAAAAATAGCATGTTTTATTATTCTGTGTATATCTTTAAGATTAGATGAAAGAGTAAGAATATAAAATCTATACTGACTTCATACTTAGTTCTATTCATATCAGATTTATAAATGTGGAGACATTAACACAATGAGCTTCAGTTTCATACAGAAATGGACTGAGATTGACAAGAGTACCAAAGAAATTTAGAGATCACTCTTAATGCTGTTTGTCTATGTATTTAACACTAGAACACCTTTCCAAAGTCAAACTCCTGACAAAACTAAAAGTATTTAAATATATGTGTGATTCAGAGCATCTCAGAACAGTTGGCAGAGGTTATCTGATTCCTAACTAATTAATGTTTTTGCACTACTTGATACTCCGTCAAATTCAGAATGATAATGAGATTTTTATAACTATGGAATTTTGTCTTAATATATGTAGTACAGTACTTCAGTCCAAAGAAAGATATACAAGAGAAAATCTTAGTCATCACCTTTACTGCTTTCCTTCTGAGGTTACAAAACACACTAATGTTACAAAACACTCTGTACAAAATGATGAGGTCTCTAGTACTACATATGCTCTGAATCTTTTTTTTTTTTTTTTTTTTTTTTTGGTAAATATTCAAGCATCGTCCTGTTTAAATATTCAGAACTGAGGATAAACAAGTATTAACTTGATATGGGAAAAGAGTTTTAAAACCATTATGGTTCTGGTTATAGTGAGCTTGCCATATTTACACAGTAGAAAATAAGTGTTAAAAATGGGTAAGGAGGACACCATCTGTCAGAAAAGCAACATTGTAAATGAAACCACAGCTTTCTCAAATGAAATCACTTGGGATGAACATACCAGAATAACAAGGTAGACAGAGATGCATATAGAGAATTATAAAATAATTTCATACATTCTGAGTCTGCTAAAATGAGATAACAGTGCAGATCCTAATGACATAAGTGAACTGAGGGATAAGTAAATTCTCCACAAAAACTATCGTTGCAACTTGGCCAGGTTTGTGAAGTGCTGCCTCACAATCTGATGTGTTTGACTTATGCAATCCCTCAAGCTATTGCATATCTTCTTTACTTGAGGAAAGTGATGTCATCTTAATAAACTGATGCTTATTTTACATGCATGTAAAGTCCTACTGACTTGCAAAGGATTATGTCTCTCTGGAGACACTCCCTAGCCTATTACTGATCCATTGCTGTGCATGGAGCATGAATAGATTGAGTTTACAAGATACACATGTAACTGAAGTGAATCATAAAAGCTGTTAATAAAAACACATGCTCATTTGTCTCCCTTTTCCCAAAAACAAAAAAGAAGAAACAAAAGCATATAATAATCGCATTAGCTGTTCAACAGTATTTCAAAGCCTTCCCTCTACAAAATAATCGGTGTAATCACAACTTTGGTTATATTTACATAGTATATATTTAAACTGGCACTGTAAAGCCTTCACCTGCCTAGAAAACTTAAGAAGGTTGATTTGGTAACTTGCTGGTTACCAAAACATATTTATCATTAAGGCTCTATTTGTCAGACAGCTGCAATATTCCCAGATTTCAGCTTCAGCTGAATACCCAGAGGAAGCTGAAAAGTATATACATCCACTTGATAATTTAATTCGCTTAGTTTATTAACACTGATACCATACTTAGATTATATAATTGACTAAGACTACTGTATTATCAGTCATACTTGAGTTCTTAACCTCATCTCAGTCCATTCAAGCTTGATTATTTGCAGTTTGACAGTGTTATTTTAAAGAGGTAATTTGAAGCATATCAAACAATTATCTGATATATTCCTACAATTTACTTATATTCTTTTATTTTGATATTAGTGTTTTCCTCTTCTTCACAGGCACAAGATACCTAACTTGAAAAGAAAGTATATAGAGCAAATTTATATTAGAAAATGTTGATGAAGATTTACTGGCTTCAAATTTTACAAAATACAAAGAAGTAAACAAGAATTATTCTTTGGTGTAGAACAAATTGTGACTTGGTGTTTTAACTTAATTTCTGAACGCACATTCTTACTGATTGATTCCATTCAGAAAGGAGCTGTGAAATGTTACAACTGAGACTAAGCACACTACTAGATAGCAGTAAAACAGAAAGACTCTTTAAAAAGTTTGGAATAATATGGATTTAAGATGAGCAAATAATCCCAAATGAAGGTGCATTTTCATTAAGAAGTAGTGAAAGTAATCTAGTCACTGTAACATGAGATGAGGATATTGTGATTACAGAACGCAAGATATTGACTGCTACCTAAAACTTATCTCTATTTACCTCAGTACTGTCCTTATTTGCTGGTGGAATTCAAACCAGGAATTCAGTAAGATGGAACATAGATCTTTTGAAATTTATAAATGCAATTGTGAATGGTTTAGAAGAAATGCCTGGATATTCTGCATTTTATTAGGACATTTTTTCTTGGTTTCTTATGGATATTATGAAAACTAACAGTCCCAGACACATTAGATACCTTATGTAAACAGATTTGCAGGAAAAAAATGATACACGGAAACTTGAGTATGGACTACTAGGACATTTAGGACCAGAGTCTACAATAAACTTGAAAGCCAAGAATTGTGTGCCATTTCTATCTATGCAATGGATGGTAACTTGTAATGGGTACTGCTCTTGCGACTGTTTCAGAATATTAAATCATTATGAGACAAACGTCAAAAATAATCCTTGGCATAGGTATCACAAAACAACTGTACTTTCATCTCTTTCCCGTGGAATAACAATCAGATCTATGATCATTTTCACTGTTTGCTACCTGATTTCCTAAGACTTGAGGATCAAAGAACAGGGTATCACATGATGCTAAGATCTTTTCCATGACAAACATTGCATGAAGGTACATCAAGACTTCCAAACACAAGAGTAACACAAAAGTCCCCCCCAAATTTTCATGAATGAATGAAAGAACGTGAATTTAAGTCTGACAGCACTTATGTTTCTGAAAACTGTTTTGCTTCCTGGAAATAAAACCAAAAGCGAAAAGTGAAATAAAAGCTGGTAGCATGCACACAGATGTCATGTGAAACATGCCTTGTGAAGTACTCTGGCGCTGGCTGCATGGTATAGTAGACCCACCTTCCCAGTCATGGTAATCAACGTATGTGTGAAAATACAGTAAATGTGGAAGATGATATGACCACTCAACCACTCACACCGGAAGAAAATCCAATATGAATCTTTACTATACTAAAGCTGCTCAGCGCTAAGTCCTTGTGCAGGCACAATTATGCATAAAATTAATAGCAAGCCGATGTTTCTAACCCCGGAGCCCTGCAAGAGGCCTGCCCGGGCAGGGCAAAGGCTGGCGAGGCCAGCTCTGCCCTCCCCGGGGTGGGCCGCATTTCTCACAGTCCAGGTCCCGCCCCCGACGCTTCCCAAGCCAAAGCGGTTTTTCTCCTGACGCGTTGCAGATGCAGCCACGGGGCTGCGGCCACGCAGGGAGTGGAAGAAAAAGCCCTCAAGCGCATCGACGTCTCGCAAAGGGAAGGAAGGAACGTGTCCAGTACAGACCACCCCCCCACCCCCCACTAGAGACCGCTCCCCTCCCAGTACAGACACCCCCCTCCCCGTACAGACACCCCCCTCCCCGTACAGACACCCCTCTCCCCGTACAGACACCCCCCTCCCTGTACAGACACACACACCACTCCCCCACCCCCAGCACCTCGCATCGCCCAAGAGGGCGGCAATAACCCCCCCACGAGCCTCTCTCCCGCTCGCCAGAGTCTCTCACCGAAGCCCCGTCCCCCGCCCGACCCTCACCGGCCCGACCCGGCGCCCCTCACCGCTCCTCTGTCACTGCCATTGCATCACCCACAGCCGGCCCCGCACTCACGCCTCCCGGCTGGGAAACATTTATTCCCGGAACCTTTGCTTCCCGCAGTCCTCCCTCCCCCTGCAGTCCCCAGCCCAACGAAGCACCCCCCCACATCGCCCGCAGCGGCGGCAGAAGCGCTCCTAGGTGCCCGGCGAGCCGAGGCCTGACCCCTGCCCTTCCCAACACTTGGTCCCTACGGGGTGGGGTGGGACGGGATGGGGGTGGGCGGGGTGTGGTGGTGGTTAACGCACGGAACCGTTTGGGAGGCGCGCCTTGTTTCCATCCGGCGCGCTTTTGACAGCGGAGCCGCGGCGGGCCGGCGTGGCGCAGGTACCGCGGGGCGGGAGGTGGGTAGCGGCCCCACGCGTGGCCTCGGCCCCCGGGGCGGGGGGCGACGGCTGCGGTGCTGGGGGAGAGGGGACAGACACGGCCTCGGAGCTAGGGTCCGCCGGAGACCGCCGTCCCGCTCCCTCGGGCCGGGCCGCTCAGGCGGAGGGATGGGTGCTGAGCTTCCCTCGGCGGGGCAGCGCCCCAGGCAGCCGGCCGTGCCTCCCGCCTGCCCGGGGGTGGGCCGCGGCGATGGGCGCCGGCCTCCCTCCCTCCCTCCCTCCCTCCCTCCCTCCCTCCCTCCCTCTCCCCCTGCCCGGCGGTCCCGCCGCGGGGGCCGTGCTCTCGGATGCTGCTCTCGGCTTTTAGGGTTTATCTCTGCTAACATTAACGGTCACGTCGCGGACCTGGAGTGTTGTGTGTGCCAAGCTTAGCACTTTTTAGTTTAATGCGTTCAGATAAATCGATCGCGTGAAAATGAAAGAAAATCAAAGCTATAAACTTCACTGTTGGTTTAGTACGTTGCAAATCATAGCGTTAATAAATTTACAGTCTTGTTACACAGTGTACTTCCGTGGAAATTTACTGGTGTTTTCCCCCTGCATTTTTCTTTAGTTAGGGCAGCATAAGAAACTTTGGGGTGGTGTTTCTTTAAAAACAGAAGATGAATAGGAAGTCTTAAGATGACTTTCCTTTTACAAAAATACTAATGCTTATGGTCAGTGTGTGTGATGGGATGGATTTATGCTGACCAAATGTAATGGGACAACTTCTAGGATCTCACAGGAGCCTTTTCAAATTCTCTGAATCTCAGCTTAATTTTTTTGCATTAAATTTTGGAAGTTAACACAATATGCTTGTATATCTTCATCTATAGCTTCCAGCCAGAGGTCAACTTCTTGCTGTGTTTGTTCTTTGAACATGATGTGTTTTGGCTGGGGCCTGTTTTCAGCACTGCAATACAAAGAGTAACCACTTGTTGCAGTTATTGAAGCGCAGTCCTTCAAAGTTACTATTTATTTGATAAGAGGTTGCAATTTACAGCTAAAAACTTCAGTTTATTGTTTTTGAATTGAATTGTTAGTTAAGATTTCCAGAAACACTACTTTTTTTTTTTTATTTTTCTGAAATATTTTTTTTCCTTGACACTGTTTAAGTGAAATGCTGTTTTCATAAATGAATCTATATTATAGAACAAAGAATTTTTCATTGCTCTTAGTTGCTGTTACTTATACCTGTCATAAACTTAAAGACAAAATGTCCTCTAGAGGGAGATCTTGATGCTTTTATGTGCTAAAATGTTGGTCCCCTTATTCCAGTTAAATGTCTTGATCACTTACCTTGGGAAGGATCTTCGATGATGAATGTGTATGTCTTAATAGTAACCTGTCTGCTGGAAATTTCTATCTTAGTAACCTGTCTGCTGGAAATTTCTATCTTCTTGGAAATTTCATTACAGAATACAGACCATAGCCTGTAATGTAACACTTCTGTAGGTTAAATGAAACATGCTTGTGATAGTTCAAACAGATCTAATTCTGAAGTTAAATGAGTACTTTTTACAAGTTTCAGAGTACTACTCCTGCTGTAGTATTTGTAGGACCTACCTTTGTGGCATCAATTCTGCCAATGCTTACATAGATACTGACTTTTATACAGCATTCTCATTTCAGTCAAGATGTTTTTGAGGTCAGTTTCTTTGTTGACCTAAACAAAGAATTTAGGCAGTTGATCTGGAAGTGTTGTGAGTTAAATCACTTTAGCATAATGAGTGCTAGCAGCTGGGCAAGGAAACAAAGCAGAAATAAAATGTCCCATTCAATCCATTTTAGCAGTTGAAGGACAGCAATATTTTCTGACTATAAAAAGCAGAGGTTGAAAGATTATTTTTGCAAACACATCAGTTGTTTGCATGTAGTTAACCCTATAGCCCACATGCTCCGTCCAGATTGTTGGAAGAAGCTTGGTGGGTTTGTTATGGTGGTGAGTTATTCAGCATGTTTCATATGCAGTCTCAGTGTGAGATTTCCTTCTTACAGACCCTTTGAAAAAAATTATTCCACAGGAAAGAAACCATTTATGCTCTTATTTTTCTGTAAGTAAATGCACATAGTGCATTCAGTGTAGCTTCTGGCGTAAGTCTGTTCTGTAAAACTAAAGGCTATGAGGAACTTGTTCTGTGGATATAGTTGGAAGATTTCCTCATACTGCAAGGTTGATGAATGGGTCAAAAATGCATTTACTTTTTTAGTTGCCAGTTGAACCACTTCATACTTCTTTCAAATCATCTGTACTGTTAAGAAATAGTTATTGTTAGGCTGACTCCAAAATAGTTGTAATATTTGTATTCTTATAAATGTGCATACCAAAATACTGCATGATTAATTACCCTCTTCTGTGTGTGTGTGTGTGTGTGTGTAGTGCTACTGCAAGTAAGCTTGAAGTGATTTGCAGCACTTATGTTGCAAGTTTGTTTTCCCTTTAATACTCATTTTCATTGTTTTGTGGTATGGAGATGCATCTCTGCAGTGCATTAAAAATGTATGCAAAGTGCTTGGAGGCAAATGGTGTTGTGCAACTGAATGTACAAATGTGTTATAGTAGAGGAATACATTTTGTTAATAAACAGGAATAAAAGTTATGTCTTTTTTGTTAAGAAAAGCATATTTATATCCTTAAGTTAATCAAATTGTAGTCTCTGTAATAAATAGTGCTCTGAATAATCGATTCTTTATTGTAGATCATAATTTTGGAGGATTCCAGCACTGAGATTTCTGGAGTCTGCTGTGTCTAGCCATAATGAGTTCGTCGCTGGTTGCTTATGATGATTCAGACTCTGAGACAGAAACTGGAAAGACTGAAGTCCCCAGTACCTCTAGCAGACAAACAAACTGTCCAAGTTCTTCTGTGAATCCCGTTCAGTACTTTGCACCTGGTAGTCTGGGTACAAAATCTACATATGAAATGCAGCCCACTGAGAACACTGACAGTTCTGGCACAAGCACTGTTTGTGAAGATCCCCCTGAGCATTATGCACAGAATAATAACACTGTTTTGACATCCCCTAATTGCAGGAGAGCATACTCTGGCCATATTGCATTATGTATGCCCTACAAAAACTATGAACAGATATCAAGCTCTTCAACAAACTCTGGAAATGGTGTTTCCCAGAAGAGAATACATAAAGACAGTACTACTGCCATAAAAGGAATCAGACCATATATCCCTAAAAGACTGCGTCAAGAAAATTCCAGTATGCCTGAAAAAAAAGAATCTGATCAGAGAGATGGCTCACATTGTGATGTGAAGCTAGGCATATCGGGAGAGCAGACTTCAAGAAAGATCTCTGAACTAATTAAGCCCTATTTGGGATCCAAATATAAATTAACTGAAGTCCCCAAAAGCTTAATATTTTACATGTCTAAACACAGTGGTCCTGTTAACGAAATCCAGTGGTGTCCTGTACGAGAACAAAGTCACATGCTTCTCTCGGCTTCTATGGATAAAACAATCAAGGTAGCGTAAACCAAGATGCTTTGCAGACCAATCATCAAACTTAAAAATATTGTATTAAATAACGATTTTCTGAGAGTAATCTTTGCTTGTTGTGTGTTTTTAACAGTTCTAATGTATTCAGAATTTGAGGAGATGATTTCAGTACAAGACCCTATTATGAGCTTACAGCCTAATCCTTCACTATACCTATAATCAGTTCCATTATTTTCGAATGTGGATTTTTTTTTTTATTAGACGCGTCAGCATTTTAGATCTTAAGTTAAGAGGTTAGATTTCTACTAGTTTCTTGTAATCTGTATTAGGTTTTCATTATTTCCTACTTTTTAATGTCACAATGGTCATAAGCGCTATGATCTAGATACAGATTCTGCCTTAAGTTATTAAACAACTAACTGCCAACACTGGAATAATATTTTGAGGAACTTAACCTTTCTGACAGGCCTAAGTGACTTCTGATGGAAGAGCTATGTCAGATCAGATGAATTTTTTATCTGAACTAGTGTGGCAGGTCTTGCATCCCTGAAAGTTGTCCTGTCATGATCTAAGGAGTCTTCAAGGGTTAATCACTCAATACTTAAAGTGTATCTTCCTTCTAGCTTTAGTGAATTTAGCTTCAGTTCTTTGTTTGTTAATTTAGTCAGTCCAATGAGTCATAATTTTAACAATGGTTAATAAAAATATTTGATGTGTATGCTTTCCCAGATATAGGGCTAATGCCACCTCTGAGTTCAAATAATAGTCTTCTGAAGTGGGTTTACACAGGAAAATAGTTTTGATAAGAGTGCACAGACAGTGTCCTTTTTGGTGGAAAGCATGCTTTATTGTATCTAACATATTTAATATAGCATATTTCTAAAACCAAAGGAGAGAAGGGAACTTTAAAATTAAATTTGAATTCTGATTTCATGTAGGAAAAAATATTCTTAAATCCTGTAATTAAAATGGTGATTTTTTTTTTTTTTAATATTTTGTTTTACTCTTTTACTATTTAATTTGTAGTGGAGAATTGAGTTTCATTTAGTTTGGCTTTTGTATGATTTTTCTTGTCTTAAAATTCTTTTTCTTTCATTTCTTCTTTCCCCAGTTTTGCCATGGGGCCTTGTGAAATATGTGCTGCCTTGGCCTCTTTGAACGAGTGATGTTCTTGAATCTTGGACAGAGTTTTTGCTTTTTTCT